ATGATGATGAAAATTTTGTTTGTTGAGAATGAATAAAACAGAAACAATTTCCCTCCAAGATCAACCCAGGGAAGAGCATTTCACAATTTCCTTCACCAAGAAAGCTTTTCTGATGCTAATACACCAAAATCCATCATTTTTTCACATCAAAACTCTCAATCCCAGCTCTGTTTGGGTCTCTCAGAGGCTTTAGTATCACATCCCCTTCTTCCCAGCATTTTTTACAGGGAAAGGCAACTTTAAAAACTTGTTATTTCTGTGATAAATGTTCCCCTGTGCTCCCAGGCTCCACTAAATTCGCATTTTAGCATTGCCATTCACCTTTAAATAGCTGTTTAAGGAGGTCAGAGTTATTTATGCTCTCAGGGTTGAATGAGGCGGCCAAGGGCACATTTTGGGTTCCAGCAGAAAGGTGGGAGAGCAGAGGGATGTGCTGGGGCACAGGTGGGCAGAGCTTCCCAAACAACGGGGTTTGGTGGGGATGGAGCCAAGGAGGTGCACGGCGCTGCCAGGGGAGCCACCCCACAGACAAAACTGGGGGAACCACCCCACAAAATCCAGGAAAATCAGCCCAAACCATGGGGGAACCACCCCGCAGACAAACCATGGGGAATCACCCCAAACCATGAGGGAATTACCCCAAATCACGGGGAAATTACCCCAAACCATGGGGGAACCACCCCACAAAATCCAGGGAAACCATCCCAAACCATGGGGGAACCACCCCAAACCAAGGGGGAACCACCCCACAGACAAACCATGGGGAACCACCCCACAAAATCTAGGGGAATCACCCCAAACCATGGGGGAACCACCCCACAAAATCCAGGGAAACCATCCCAAACCATGGGGGAACCACCCCAAACCAAGGGGGAACCACCCCACAGACAAACCATGGGGAACCACCCCACAAAATCTAGGGGAATCACCCCAAACCATGGGGGAACCACCCCGCAAACAAACCATGGGGAATCACCCCAAACCATGAGGGAATTACCCCAAATCACGGGGAAATTACCCCAAACCATGGGGGAACCACCCCACAAAATCCAGGGAAACCATCCCAAACCATGGGGGAACCACCCCAAACCAAGGGGGAACCACCCCACAGACAAACCATGGGGAACCACCCCACAAAATCTAGGGTAATCACCCCACACCATAGGGGAACCACCCCACACCCTGGGGGAATCACCCCACAGAATCCAGGAGAATCAGTCCAGGGGAGCCACCCCACAAACTCCAGGGGGAACCACCCCACAAAATCCAGGGAAACCATCCCAAACCATGGGGGAATCAGCCCAGGGGAACCACCCCACAAACTGCAGAGGGATCAGCCCACAGACAAAACAGGGGGAACCATCCCACAAAATCCAGGGGAATCCTCTCAAACCACAGGAGAGCCACCCCACAAACTCCAGATAAAGTTGGAACCACAAAACCTTCTCGGGCACTGCTGTCTCCTTGGGAAGGCACAAAAAGGCTGAAAGGCAGCAAACCCCACAAAGCTGGCTGGGCACAGCTCTCACCTGCTCCTGGGAAAAGCCAGCCCTTCCTCCTGCAGCTCCTGGAGCTCTGCCTGCCTCCCCATCCCTTTCAGGGCATTAAACCTTCCATCACCTCCCAGATGAACCCAACTGGGCTGACCCCAGGGCAGCTTAACCCCTTCTGTGCCCGTGGCACCTGCAGAGCCCCTCAGCAGATTGACACAGGCAACATCTGATTTTTACTCGCCAGTTTTACTGGGGTAGGACTGTGTGGAGGCAGCAAATTGGGAGAAGAGAGCCAAAAAATTATTTTCGAGTGTAGTCACAATGGCAGTAAAAGGCTTTGCATGGATTTAGTCTCGCTGGAATGAAATTTGTGTGGTTGTGTCTCTGCAGGGCTGCTCCACTCACTGCTGGAAGCACCAAAATCCCTCTGGTGCGGCCCAGTCCTGGGTTCTTGGGGTAAAGAGAATTTTTTCTAGAATGTCTAAGACTGGTTCTGCTCTGTGGCTGGGTTGGGAATGTTGATAGAGCATTTTTTGGCAATAAACAGGGAGTAATAAAGTTATCTAGCCCTGATCTTGAATTTGATGAAGGATTCCTGAACAGGGCATTTGATAATTATGTGTCTTTTCAGTATGTGAAGCACTGGTTAAAAAAAATTTTAAAATTTTTAAAAATAGGGAAAAAATATTGCTTCTGCTCAATTTTACAAGCAAATTTTTCACAAGCAATTCTTTTCCTTCACTCATGGCAGCCACTGCCAGGGCTCAAAAGCTTCCTGTGATGATGGAATCCCAACATTCTGGGCTACTTCAGATTCACTTACCAAAGTAATAAAATTTCAGCCTGTACCAGCTCAGAATCTATTTCTCCAACGGACTCAAAACTGCTGACAGCAAAAAAAAAGTGAAACCTCTGCAGCTTAATCCCCACTTCCCTTCTGTTTTCCAACCAACTCCAATGAAGTAATCACAAACATCCTGAAAGTGATGCACAAAGATGAGGCTGCAAAACTCTGATTGTGTTTTGGATGCCATGGGTGAGGGTCTGTCCTTATCACCCCTGTGCCCTGTGAGCAGAATGAAAGGTTGTGAGCAGAATAAAGCACTGTGAGCAGAATAAAGGCCCTGGCTGTGTGCACAGGCAGGTGAAGGGGCACTGCTGGGCCCTGCATCACCTGCTCACCCTGGGATGTGATAAAGGAGGAATTTGGACTTTGTCCCTTTCCGGTTTAAAGTCAAATCTCTGGTGCTTCCTGTGCAGGAGGTTCTTTCCTCTGCCCTTCAGCAGGTGACAGAATTAATAGGAAATGATGAAGTCAAAGCAAAGAGTGCTGATAAGAGGTTTATTCTTCTTCTTTGAGGCTCTTGATAATTTGTTTCCAGAAAATGACACTTCTTTAAGGAATTCGTAAGCATCTTCAGCCTCGTCAGGGCTGCTGCAGAATTTCCTGTTTTTGTGTTCTCAGAACTGCTGAGCTGCTGAAATTGCCAGTAAAGCCCGGGGTGTGTTATCCAGAAGAGGTGGAGTCTCTAACAAATCCAGATTTCTCACTGCTGTTCTCGGATTGTGTGACTGCACGAATCCAGAGCCATCCCCTCCAGCCTCCCGTGGCTCAGTCCCACAGCCACCACCCCTCTGTGTTTACCTCCATCCTCCCATGCAGAAACCCATGGATTTTGTTCCATCAGTGGCTTTAAAGAAGATTTCCATCCCAAAAGGTATCCAGGGGCTCTTAAAACATGTTCTGGGTGCAGAGCTGTGAAACACAACCCCCGAACCAGGGCCTGGCTCAGTGTGAGCAGCCTCAGCTCCTGAATGAAGGACCTCAAACCTGCAAGGGGCAAGATCCTGCTCAGATTCCCTGCTCTGAGGGTGGATGGGTCTGGCATGCTCAGCAGGGAGGAGTCCATGGCTCTGAGCCCTCCTGGGAAGGCAGAGTGGGAGCTGAGCTCAGTTCCTGGGATGAACCCCAGGAGAACCCTGCTGGGAACCTGCTCCTCCTGAGGGGCAAATCAACCCCTGTGTGCTGTTTCTTGCACAAAACCCTACAGTTTTGAGCCATTCCCTTTTATATTTATCAGATGCTTCAAACCCTTCCAAAGTGCCCCCCTGAAACGCACCCTGAGACCCTGGAGCAGCGTGACCTGCTCCAGTTGTGCTCCAAAGCACAAAACCAGAGCCAGGGCTCTAAATGCAATGTCTGGCCTTGGCTGCTCTTCTCCTTTGGCCTGGGCTGCAGCCCTTCCAAGGCTTTGATTTCCAAATGACTTGTTAAGCTTTCCTGGACATGAAAGCTGCATTTAATGTTCCTTATATCCGCGAGGAATGCGGAAACTCCCTGAGCTGGGGATGCTGCTCCTAAGACCGTTCTTCCTCTGGGCTCCACGTGTGGCAGCGTTATGGGCAGGCTGAGGGGCTTCTGCAAAGCTGCTGCTGGCAGGAGGGATCGAGCAAAACCAGGGGAGGAATGAAAAAAATCAGGGGAGGAATCGAACAAAATCGGGGGAGGAATCGAACAAAATCAGGAGAGGAATAGAGCAAAACCAGGGGAGGAATTGAGCAAAACCAGGGGAGGAATTGAACAAAATCAGGGGAGAAATCAAACAAAACCAGGGGAGGAATTGAACAAAATCAGGGGAGGAACTGAACAAAATCAGGGGAGGAATCGAGCAAAACCAGGGGAGGAATCGAACAAAATCAAGGGAGGAATCAAGCAAAACCAGGGGAGGAATCGAACAAAATCAGGGGAGGAATCAAACAAAAGCAGAGGAAGAATCAAAATCAGGGGAGGAATCGAACAAAACCAGGGGAAGAATCAAGAAAAACAGGGGAGGAATCAAGCAAAACCAGGCAGTTTCTGCCAGGAGCCCGTGCCAGCTCTCAGAGTGGTTTTATTTTGCCTGCAGGGAGAGCCCCGTGCCATGGAGGGCACCCACCGCCACCCCTGGTGCTTGTTTCTCTGCCAAAAGCGTTTCCTGACTCCTCAAATCGGCCCCTTTGCCAAGGGATGGGGTCAGGGCACAGCAGCCCCGATTCCTGGGAGCTGCTCTAGCCAAAATAGAATATTAATTAATGTCTACACAGTCCATAATATAGAAATAGATATATATTCTGTATTTTCAGCCTGGAAAAGAGAAGTTTTTCTTCCTTCCACTGCCTGAAGGAGCTGCAGCAAAGATGGAGAGAGGATTTCCAGGGGATGGAGGGACAGCACACAGGGAATGGCCTCACACTGACCAAGAGCAGGTTTAGGTGGGATATTGGGGAGGAATTCCTGGCTGGGATGGAATTCCCAGAGCAGCTGTGGCTGCCCCTGGATCCCTGGCAGTGCCCAAGGCCAGGCTGGGCACTGGGACAGTGGGAGGTGTCCCTGCCATGGCAGGGTGGCACTGGATGGGCTTTAATGTCCCTTCCCACCCAAACCCCTCTGTGATTTTATGCTAATCAATCATCAGGCCATGGGGATGTAAATAACAAACTTCGTTTGAAAATTGAAACAGCAGCTGATTTTTTGTTTCAAAGGATAAGTATTAGTTTATTTAAAGATAAGGATGTCAAAATATACAGTATTGCATCATTTAGATCAGTGTGGATTACAGCGTCAGGCCCCTGGTTCCCTGTACAGGCTAGGATTGAACGAACAGAAATCTTAATTTTCTGTAAAATTTATTAACTACAGTTATTACAGGGGTCTTGTGAAGCAGAGAGCTGCCTGGGCAGCTTTGATTTTGGTTTTTTATTAGGATTAATTACAAGTATGGATATAAACAAACATCAGGGTGAACAACTAAGTTTCCTATGATCTAAGGAACATTAATTCCGGGCTGGCAGGCACAGCCCGGCGTTAGGGGACGTGGCTGCCCTCTTGTGTCCTATTAGAACTTTAAATAGATTTTAATTTGTTATCCCACCCGCCCGGCCGAGAGAGGATCTGCCCCAATCACGGCAAGCTTTGCATTTTAGCGTTTTAATTTACATTAATAACCATCAGGAAGCAGGACTCGGTCACCACGGGTCTGCCGGGCTGAAGGGCTCAGCTCTCATTCCAGCTCTGTCGAAACCCCACCAGAAGTGACTCGGCTGTTGTTACCCTGCAGCAGAACATTTCTCCAGGGGATTTGTGTTTTCCTGGCTGCTTTCAAGCTCTCTGAAGCAGAGGATTCTCTGCCCGTGCCTCGCTGCCCTCCTCTGTCACCTGCGTGCTTTTCCTGCCATTTATTGAATTCTCTGCCAGCCTCGGACCTGACTCACCCTCTGCACACTTCAAACCACCCACAGCACCTTACCTTCAACACATCTCATGGGATCTCAGAGCTGCTTTCTACAGGTGAGGAACAAACCCTGCAAAGACAACCTCCAAAATGACAAACCCGGCAAAAACAACCTCCAAAATGACAAACCCTGCAAAAACAACCTCCAAAATGACAAACCCTGCAAAGACAACCTCCAAAATGACAAACCCTGCAAAGAACCTCCAAAATGACAAATCCTGCAATGACAACCTCCAAAATGACAAACCCTGTAAAATGACAAACCCTGCAAAGACAACCTCCAGAATGACAAACCCTGCAATGACAACCTGAAAAATGACAAATCCTGCAGAGGTACCCTGTGTTTGCTTCAGCCTCAGGTGTTTGTGACAGCCGTGGGAAGGAAAAGGAGTCATTTCTGCTGCCAGGAAGGAGTCATTTCTGGAGCTCCCAGAGAGCTGCTGAGCCTCCCTCCAGCAGCTGGCACTACTTGGATTTCCCAGCAGGGAGGATGGACACGGGATCTGTCTGCACTTCTGCATCCGACATCCTTTTGGAGCCCTGTGGAAAAAAAGAGACACTTTTAGAAACATTTCCAAGCATTTCTGAATGGTCAAGTCTGGAATTGTGTCCTAGACTTTTGCTGCCAGATATTTCCCACTGATTTAACCTCCCTGCTTTTCTTCATTTAATATGCACAAATACACGAGCACCATCTGCATCGTGAGAACCACACAAAGTTCCTGCCTAAATGTGGGGGTTATTTTAATAGAATTGTCTCAATTGGCATGGAAACAATTGAACTGGGCTCACCTAGCAGAGCCAGGCTGCTGTGTGTCTGTAGTATTGGAGTTTTGGCATAACTTTCTCTACCGTTTCCCTGCCCTAAACGCTTCAGTGCAGCCCTGCTAGGAGTCCTTCAGGCATGATGAATGGTGTATTATAGCCAGCCCCGCTCTGCTCTAGGTTAAAGGAACATTAAATACTTTTATGCATGACAGGTATTCGACAATGTTCGAGTGATAAAGCTTTTTTTACACTGCAAACATAATTCTGGGTTTGGAACCACTCCAAGACACTAATCCAGCTTAGATGAAGGAAATGTATAGCTCTAACTATACCAACTACATTTTTCACTAACTGATAAAAGCTTGGCTCTGGTTTAAGGTGCCTGACCTAATTTTGCTGCCCTTGAAGCTGCCAAAACTTCAGCAAAACGGACCCACAATCAGTGTTTGAGGTCAGGGTTACCACTGTGAGGTGTCGGTACCCAAATCACGCCTTGCTAAGCAGAAAATCCAACATGACAAAGCTCAAGGTGCCTCTGTGCTTTCCCTAGGATAGGAACCTGGCAGAATAATGTGTGAATTGTGCCTTCCTGGAAACCTGAGTCACCACTTGAGGAGGATTCTGTGTTACTCATGGAGAGTGAAAGGTCTCGACTTCTTCATCCCCTTCAGGGAAGTAAAACCAGCAAGGTTTTTATACTGATAAGGCTCCACCTCACTGATCTTCCTTTAAGGTTTCACCTTGGAGGATCTAAGCATGAAAAAGGGCAGCCAAAAATCACAATGGACTGAAAAATCCAATCTAAGCTGATTGTAGCCTTGTGAGCTGAGCTGGCTGCAGTGGCTTCACTTCTGCTTCCCCTGGTGTGTGTGTGATCTAATACCTTTAGATCAATGATTACACCTCCTGATCACGTTGGAGAGGCGGCTTCGCTTCTGCTTCCCCTGGTGTTGAGTTTGGAGGATGCTCTAGAGCAGAATGAAAGGTTTGGCCATTTACAGGTAGCAGCAAATCCATCATTTATCCACCAACCAATACCACGTGAGCCACTCATTCCAAATTTACCCAGAAACCATAAAAACCTCCACATCAGGTAAAGATTTCCCACACGACAGTAGTGGGGTCTGCCAGCTTCAGCTCCTGTCTGAGCACGATGAAGTCACTTCTAAACTGATCAGGGAATAAGATGATGCAATTTGCCTTTTTTCCTATGAAAGGGTGGAGGGAGGAGACAGGAGAGGAGGATTCTCCTTGGAGATAATCCCCATTTTGCCTCTTTTAGCACCCGTTTTGCAGAGGTCACTTATTTGCTCACTGCAGTCGCCTGCTGCACCAATTTTCAAGGTGGTTGCTGATTAAAGCAGGAAGATCAGACTGGCTGATGATTCCTGTTGAACTGGAATTTCCAAGCCCTTCTTTCTCGTGAAAGAAAGAGCTTTTTTCTGCCTTCTTTAAGGGACAGATTCCAGCTCTGCCCTGGGATTCAGGAGCTCAGGTACCACCAGCTCATGGCTTTGTGACAGAGAGCTTGGAACACTTGGGCAGAGCATTTTAAAGGGCACACACAGCAAAACATTGGTGCTGGAGTATTTTTCCCCCCAGGTTTTGCTCAGGAGAAGCCTGGGTTAGTGCAGCACATACTCTGATCAGAAAAAATCCGAATACTTTCCACGTGCTGAGCACTCCCAGCTCCTGACAAACTGGACTATGAGTTATTCCAGCTCAGGAAACAATGTTATTAATCTTTTTTTCCCCTTTCTTTTTCTTTCTAATCTAATCTTTCAAAGACTCCCTAAATACATTTGCTACAGCTTATAAATTAATCTCTTTTACCATAGAAACAACCTTATCTGTGCTCAAACCCTGCAGCTGGGCACTGATGCTGTTTGCTTGTAGAAGTGGCTCCAGTTGTAGCCAAAATTTCAGCATTTTTAGCCAATATTCCAGCATTTGTAGTCAAAATTTCAGCATTTTGGCCAAAATTCCAGCATTTTTAGCCCAGCTGGGAGCAGAGGCTGGAGCTGCAGTGTTGAATCTGCATTCCTGCACTGTGACATTCCCAGGGGACTCAGATCCAGGGGAGGGTGGTGTTAAAATGCAGAACAGGAGCTGCTGGGTGAGCACAGGCTGGGAGAGCTGCTGGATCCCCTCTTCAACATCTCCTGCTCCCCTTTTACCAACAAAAAGCTGCATTTCTCTGCTGAGTTGTTCCCAGACAATCGAGGTGTTATCTTGAAATGGCAATGCTGGCATTGGCTGGTGTGTGTGATCTAATACCTTTAGATCAATGATTACACCTCCTGATCACGTTGGAGATGAGGAGATTAATTTTTTATCATTGCAGAATAAGTTTCTTAGCTCTTGGTAATCCTGAGGATATTCAAAGAGAGGTAATAATACTAATCCATAATAATTTTCCATGAGACTTTTCCCATACACAGACCTCATTGTTATGTGGTTTGCTGCCACTTTGAAGCACAATAAACTGACCAAATCAACTTTACTGTTGTCAAAAATTTCTTTTTTTTTTTGAGTTAATGGGAGAGGGAAGCTGCAGGAGCGCTCTCTAAAGTTGCAGCAGAAGATAAGGGACTGCACAGCCAAACTGAGGCAAACTGAAAAAATAAATCCTACAGAACATCTCCACTTCCTCTAGGTTGATTCTGTTTTATTCCTCAAATGGTCTTTTTAGCTCTTACAATCTCCTCCCTTGATCTAAAAGCTTTTCTTGCCCTTTCAATCTGAGCCACCTCTCCTGCCTCTCTCGGTGTGTTTCATGAATTTTGAAGGTGTTTCCTCCAGATCTCCCTTTCTGGAAGAATTCTAAATGTGTGTCTCTTGTTAAACTCCATAAAGGAGTTTTGATTTTGATCACCTGCCTTGATTTTGACCTTGCAGGGATTTTGTTTTGCAGGGATTTTGTTTGGCAGGGATGTCCCAGCTGCACCCCCAGGGGTCAGGCAGGTTCCTCAGGTGAACCAGCCCCACCTCCACTCTCCCTTAATGACCACCCTGTAATTTGTAGGAACACTGAGTCATCCCCATGGCCAAGCCATGAACCCCAAACGCAGTGCTGTGCCAACAATTCCAGCTCCTCCTGGGCAAACCATCCCTGCCTCAACCAGCACCCCAAAAGCAAACCCCCAAACCATCCCTGCCTCAACGAGCACCCCAAAAGCAAACCACCAAACCATCCCTGCCTCAGTGAGCACCCCAAAAGCAAACCCCCAACCCATCCCTGCCTCAGTGAGCACCCCAAAAGCAAACCACCAAACCATCCCTGCCTCAATCAAGACCCCGAGGCCCGAATTTTCCTTCCTTTCCCAAAACCTTGCTGTTCTTTGTCCAAGTCCTGCTGGTGAAATTGAAGCACAAATCCCACATGGATCAGAGCTTGTGTGCCTAAACCAGCTGGAAAACAGCAAAAAAAAAAGGAAGATAAATGAACGTACAAGGCCTTTAAAAAACCCTCCCAGGGACTGCCTCTTCTCTGTCTTCTTGTAGGAGGGCTCCTTGGCGTCCCCGCCGTTGTGGATGGAGTCAGGGTCAGCTGCTGGCTGCTCCCGGGGCTCTGGCTGCTCCCTGCCCTTCTGCTTGCCCAGCTCCACCGTGGACTTCTTGTCTTTGGAGCCCTCTTTGCTCCTTGGGCCCCCAGGGTCGCTCTCAGATGGGGCAAGAGGCTTCTCCGTGGCGTTTAAAGTCTGCAGAGGTTTCAAACAGGGCAAATAGAAAGAGTTCAGAAGGAGATCCATAAATATGTTAGGGGAAAAAAATATAATTAAAAAAATGAAAAGCCACCTGGCAGGAGGAGTCCTGCTGCCCAGCAGGTTTGCATTTCCAGAGGCTGGGATGAACTCCTGCAGTGTTGGCTCAGGGAGCTGGTGGAATTCCCTGAGCCAAGACTGCGGGACCAAACCATCCCTGCCTGGAACAACTTCATGGATGTGTCTGCTGGGGCTGCTTGAGGAGGCAGAGAACATCACTGAGAGACACTGCCCACTGAAATAGCCCCAGAGTCTGCACCCCAAGCAGGGAAAGCACCCAAAAAGTGCAAGGAAAAGATCTGAGAGAGGACACAAATCAAAAGACCCCATAAAGCAAAGGGTGAAAAATTCCCAGTGAATGAGCAGCACTCCACCCAAAAATTATCAACACAGGGTTGGCTGTGGAGAGCCAGAATATCATAGAAAATTTCATGTACAAGTGCAAAAGAAGAGACAGGAAATGTTCCAAAAAATCACAATCACCAAGCACCTGTCTAGAGTAAAGGGGAAGATTCTGGACCTCAGAGAAGTTCAGGATATATTTGAAGTTCACACAAGGAAAATAATATCTGGCAAACAAAGGATCAGACAATGGAATCGTCACTGTTTGGAAAGCAGTAAATGAGGGTGTTTTAGCCAGGAAATCTGCTTGCAAATAGGATTTTTTTTTTTTTAATGCAAAAAAACCCTAAACCCCAAACCCATATGGCTTTATTTATTGCCATCATTAAAACAGCACAAATTTGCCATGTTGAAAAGCTGGAAATCTCACATCTGCCCTCAGGCCATGGTCCAAGCTTAATGCTGTGTATTTTTCCAGCTTTGGGAATTTTACCATTAGTCTTGAAATATTTGGTGTTCTTCTGAAGGCCTGGGGTTATGCGCTCACACGCCAGGCTTAGCTTTCATTCAAAACAAAAACATTTTTAGATATCATGATTTCAGAGAAAACCCTGAAAGCAGAAACTCGAGAGAAACAGAATGCAAATACACCTCTTGTGTTTAAAAATAAAAAACATTCAAGCCCGTCTAGTTTTGGGGAAACAAGAATGAGAGGGGACAACCATCCTGCTGCTTTGCCTTTTTCACTCAGTTCAGCTTTTCTCATTGCCCAGTCTTAAAAATGTTCAGTGTTTAAATCACAGAACCCATTTAATACATTCAGGCTTGACCAGGAGACTCAACTCCTGCACTAAACACGAATTTCTTTTTCCAGAGATTAATATATGTGGTAAATATTTCCTCACCCCTTGGATTGCTCTGCTCTCAGACTCAAAAAATCCAGCCAGCAGCTTGTCTTTGTGCAGGAGAACATGAAGGAGGGGATCAGCAGATTTAGGAATTTTTCAAGCAGGTTCAGTGGGCTCAGAGGAGAGCAGGGCTGTGGTCTGGGCTCAGACACCACACATATCCCACCTGTGCCCCTCACCTGGGCAGTGACACTGCCATGCCCAGGGGATGCAGGAGCTCTCCCAGCACAAGGATGGGCACAAAGCCAATGGAAAGTTGGCTTTCAATGAACTCTGGGAGCTCTGAGCTGCTTCCCAAGACCCTTCTCACTGAACTGGCCTCAGCTCACCTTTGAAAAGATTCTCTGGTGAAATTGCAAAAATCCACCTTCAAAAATTCCATCAACAAACACAGCTCTGGGACTGAGCCCAGCCACAGCCGAGTTCAGAGGGGCCTGGAATCCTCAGAAACACTCTGTGCAATCTGTGGCTTTGCTCTGTGGGTGTAAAATTAGAGCTTTCCTCCCCACATGTGCCTGAGACAGCGCTGCAGCCCCAGCAGAACCGTCCCCATGGCTGAGAGCAGGTGGGGCCTTTGATGTCAGGCAGACTAAACACTTTTAAAAAAATATCCATAATACATTTCCCAGGCAAAAAATACTCAATTCAAACCCTATCAGATAATCTCTTTGAGGTGTTTCATATTAACCTTGAAAGGCAGGAAATTGGCAGATTTGATATTGATGGGAGCAGCTCAGGAAATGCGGAGTGAGGCCAATGAATAATGAAAGATGTTAATGCTCCTTATTCCAAAGGGGAGCTGCTCCTGGCACTTTGCTTTGCCTCCCTCAACACCAGCAGTGCCACTGAAATAAAAAAAGAAAAATGGACAGCATTTTCCCTGTTATCTCACAGGAGACCTTGGGCCAAGGCTGATTTTTAAGCCCAGGATTTCTGTGGTTTTGGAGCAGTGCTGAAATTTCAGGAGGGTGCAGAGTGGCAGGGATGGGAAGGGGAGAAGAATCACAGCATTCCAGAGACACTGCAGCATAATTTAAGGAAATTCTTCCAAAGAAATCCTCAAAAAAGGAAGAAGTCAGCAGCAGATTTAGTTTTCCTTGGGCTCCTCTGAGGAATAAAACTGTTCTACTTTACACCAGGGCAAAGGAGAGAAGGAGGAAGAACAATAAACTGATTTACAGAAATGGAGGGAAGCTGGCTGCTCATTAAAATAATTAAATAGATCCAGGGCTGAAACTTTTGGTGTCTTAGCCAGATCACTTCACAAAGCTCTTGTATGAAATAAGGATTAAGTGTCACAAGACAAGGCCCTTCTATATTTAGGATGCTTTTAGAGACATAATTCGTAAAAATTAACCTTGGTGTCATCAGACATTGTGAAAATAGGAAGAGAGAGATATAATTTCACAGCTATTTAAAAGAGGAAATTCTGAAATGACAGTTTTGAAGGCAACTTCAGTTTTCCTCTTAAAGGAAGCTGTCTATAGACAAAACTTTGTTTTAGTTCTCATTACTGAGAGATGAATTCTTCTGGATATTTTCACTTGCAGCAGATGAGGGTTTGACTCTCAAATTAACAGAATTTGTATTTCTAATGAAAATATTATTTTTTTTGGAGCATTTTGAAAGCCATGAAGAATAGAATGAAAACACCACACCCAAAGTTTGGGTTTAGATTTTATGAACACAGAACGAAAGAAACAAAAACAGAACAAGAAACAAATATTTTCATGGCTTTTGTTACATTGCAGTGAACAGTTTTCATTCTCATTTTCAGTTCTCTTTTGTAGAGTTTCCACCTAAATTATTCTTTCCTCAGAAGTCAAGTAAATCAACAAGGTAAAAATAATTCTGTGTGTATTTAGCTCCACTGCCTGAGCCAAGGTTCCTGCAGAAAGTCAAAAAGCAGCAAGAGAGAGGAAGAAGATTGTACATAAACCCACTGATTATTTTAAGAAAAGGAACACACCCGGAAAAAGCTTTTAAAAAAATTGATGTTGACTCTTTAAAATCTTGTTCAATATTATGAGCAGATAAAAGAAACAGAGAAGCTGTGTGCAAATACACAAAGCTCAGAGTGCAGCACTCTCCTTTCAGTGACTTTTCCAGCTCAAGAGGCAGAGCTGTGTGAAGGGAGTGACAAGAACCCATCACCAGAGGATGAAGAAGGCCAGGCCAAAGATCCAAAGCCCACTTACGTGGTGTCTGGGGCTGGGACCCTCTCCTTCTGAGCGGGGGCTCCCTCCATCACCCCTGACTGACTAAAACAACAGAGGGTCCTGTTGGAGGCCTTCATTCAGGAGGAAAGCTCCCAGGAATCAAGGCTTGATTCAGCAACTCCATTTGGGAATGTCCCCATCTCCAGGTGGGTTTTGCTGGCTCTGTTCTGTGGGGTTGTCTCTTGCCAGCCAGGTTTCCCACCAAGGCCTGAGCAGGGATCATCTCAGCCACTAAACAAGAACCTGCTGCTGGAATTTTCTAGGAAAGAGCTTTTCTTTGCTTTCCAGAGCCAAATCTGTCCTACAAGACCTAGTGGGACTTGCTCTCTGTTTACCCACCATACTAAGTGCACGTGAATAATTAAAGCCCACTCAGCTTTAGAGGGATGTTTCCATATTTTGTCATCAGCATCCATTTAATCCTGATTTTTGCTTTCCAGTTTATTCCTGCAGTCCTTAAACCTCTAAAAAATAATCCTCCTTGGTTCCCACACTTCCCAGCCAGGACAATCCAGGCAGAGCCTGAGGCTGCAGCACTGGGAGGTCACTCAGAGCAAACCTTGACTCAAATACCTTTTTAAAGGTAAAAACCCATTTCCATCTAGATTTAAAAGTGAGAAACCCCTGTTTGACCAAACTGAGTAAACAGTACAAGCTTTGTGAGAATTAGGTTAAGCTTAAGTTACAATCAGAGCTACAAAAGGGACAACAGGAATGAGCATTTGTGTTTAAAAATGCGTTGGAGGGTTCAGTGTGCTCTCCTGGGTGCCTCAAAAGCCACAGAACTCAGCAGCAAAGCGTGAAATAAACTGCAGGATTTCAGAGTGCCCAAATTTAAATGTCATTTTTCATTGCAGAAGTTCAATGAAAACAATGAAAGGATGTGACTTTTGTTCTAAATTTATCTCGGGCGGAATTGTGGTTTGCTGCAGCTCTGCGTTGGTAGAGCTGCAACAGCCCCAGCCTGCTCCCACAGATGGGGTTACTGCAGCCCTGACTTTCCTACAAAACCACAAAAATCAATGCATGGCAGCAGCACGAGAGAAAATTCAACCACTCCATGACAGCTCATGGCTTTTGTGGGGAAAAGCCTGTCCCTGGAAGGTGCCAGTGCTGAGCCTGGCAGGGTTTGTGCTCGGGAGCTTTATCTGTGCAGAGGTGCAGGGGAGGAAGCACAGTGTGGGACAAACCCGGTCCAGAGTGCATGGAGACGGGCTGTGATAAGATCTGCTCTGCATTTGGGTTTTAGCAAGTCCTCAAATGCCTTTAGAAAAAAACCAAACCTGCTCTAACAGCATCAGTGTTACCTTTTCCCCTATAAACACCCCAAACCAGATAAAAATAGCCCTGCTTTAGCCAACCTCTCTAATCCACCTCGTATTTTTATTGTTATGATTATTTTGAACCAAAAGCAGAGTAAAGACCTTGAGGTCTAGACAAAGCTCCCTCTTGCTGCCAGTGAGACGAGGATGAAACAACCCCAAGGATTTCTCTCCAGAGCACTGCTGACCTCTTATCCTTGCCTCTGGTCACTTTGGTTTGCTGCTGCCCACAAGTTCTCAGCAGTGAGCAGGGTGGGTTGGGATGTTTTTCAATGGAAGGGGGTGAGGACAGCCAACACCCCGCTACATTTTCATCAATAGTTGTGACAACATAGTTATTCTCAATTCTAAATGCTATTTATTGCCTAAAAGTTTGATTATGTGGGGAAGCAGGGCAGCACAGGGACTGCAGATGATTTGGGAACAATTTTCCTCTGGGAAGCAGGATGAGATTTCTACCTTTCCTCTTTCCTTCCTGATGGACCTTTGCAGGAGTGGCTGCCTCCTTTCCTTTCACGTGCCAGTTTACCTAACCTACAGAAACTGCCAAAAACCGTCCTGCCACTAAAAATACAGCTCCCCAAAGGCAGTGCAGGACAGGACACGGCACAGGAGGAGTGACAGTGCCCTGGCCAGCAGGAGATGGATTTGGAGGCGGGGTTGGAGATGGGCTCCTCCAGGGGCTTCCCACGGGGGATGATGCGGTTTGTGAGGTGGAGCATCCTCGGTGTCGCGACCCCTGGAGCTCCCTGGGCCACCTCGGCCGGGAAAGGGCCACCGGAGCCCTCGGGACATTCCGGGAGGAGCCGCGAGAGGGAGATGCAGGACGGGGAATGCGCGGGGGGATGTGGGGAGGAGTCCCAACTGCGAATCCCGGAGCATCCTCATCCCTGAGCATCCCTCATCCCTGAGCATCTCTGAGCATCCCTAAACATCCCTCATCCCTGAGCATCTCTGAGCACCCCTCATCCCTGAACATCCCTGAGCATCCCTGAGCCTTCCTGAGCATCCCTGAGCATGCCTCATCCCCGAGCATCCCTCATCATCCCTTATCCCCGAGCACCCCTCATCCCTGAGCACCCCTCAGCCGTGAGCATCTCTGAGCATCCCTGAGCATCCCCCAGCACCCCTCAGCCCTCCCAGACAAAGACAAAGTGTTTTCCTAGCCTCTCCCCAGCCCTCTGAGCTCCCGAAGGGAAAAGCTGCTCTTACCAGCTTAAAGAACTTCCTCAGGTTTGCCTTGGGCGTTTTGCTCTCGGCCCCTCGTGGTTTCACCTCGGCGCTTTCCGTGCTCTTGCTCTCGTCCCTGTCGGGAGCCACGGCCTCCAGAGCCACCTCTGCCTTCTCATTGCTCACGGCCTCTGCTTCTTCCGAGGAGTTCTGGGGTTGGGAATAAAGTGGAACAAACATTCTGGCTCAATCTGTGAGGAGCTGGTTGAATTCTTAAAATTTTACAATTAAACAGGGCATAAAAACGTCCTCAGCTTTGCTGTTCTCTTCGTGTTGCTTCAGGAATTTGATTGATCCCAATTGAAAGGAAGTGAATAAGTGTTAAAGTCCCACCAGTTTATATAAACAAGAGAAATAACCTTTCTTGTGCTGCTGGTTCCCAATCACAAGAACCTAGCTTTGATTACAATGTAAAAAGAATGAAAACGAAATTCCACACAGCAATGCTGTCCTGAGGAGATGAGGCTCAAGTAAATCCAGAAAATACCAGAAAAACCATACTCAGGAATCTGCACTCAAAAGCAGAATTAAGTTTATTTGAAACACACTATGGACACTATTAATTGCTGAAACCTGGCCTTGGACATTTCCAGGGTTGGAGCAGCCACAGCTCCTTTGGGAATCTGTGTCAGGACCTCACCTCCCACCCAGGGAACAATTCCTTCCCAATATCCCACCTAAACCTCCCCTGTGCCAGTTTGAAGCCATTCCCCCATCCTGTCACTTGTTTATTCTTATTTGTCACCACATTCTTTTATTTGGACTCTGCACTTTTATTGTGAACAAGGATATTTCCTGTTCCCATTTACAGCAGATTTTCTGTGTGCTGTTTTCATCTCCCTTTCTGAGCAAATGAAATCCCAGTTTATTTAGTCCTTCATGCAGAAGCCATCCAATACATTTACTCAATATTCCATCACACCTTTAGTTCTGTCATATTTTGAAGTTGCAGGGAACTCCACATTCAGGAAGGGGACTCACCATGGACTCCTACAGCAGCAGGAGAGATTTTGCTTTGTACCTGACTTCTCTTTAGTGGAAGAAACAACATTTTGGGGGTGGGACAACAGGGAGAAGAATGATGAGGGAATGAATATTCCTTATCCCCTGCTGCCTGAGATGGCTGAAGCACATCCCACCTCCCCATGGAATTGTAGATTTAATTTATATTTATGAACAGCTTTGAGATAATCAATCTCTAATAATTTTACTCTGGATCTCTGCCTGTTCACACAGCCTTATCATCAACTCCCCATCTATTTGCTGGAAGGAAAAGATCCAGGGCAGAGTGGAAGCAGTGGCTCAGTAAAGCAGGGCTCAGCTCCTGGGATCTCTCCAGAGGGGCAGGTTGGGATCACTCTGCTGTGCCCCAAAGGAGTTTTGTCTCTGCAGCTCTGGCTCTGCACTGGAATTGGTGGCACAACCAACAAAAGCACCCTGGGACCAAATGCCAACCTCCAAAAGGCACTGCCCAGTTAAATCAGGGTTAGGCAGCTATTCAGGGATTGGGTTGTTTCAAGCATCAGGGATTTTTGCACATTTCTTCAGGAAATTCTTCTGCAGAACAAGGGGGGGATGGCTTCACACTGAAATAAGGGAAATTTAGGTTGGATATAGAGAGGAAATTCTTCCCTGTGAGGGTGCTGGGCCCTGGCACAGGTGCCCAGAGCAGCTGTGGCTGCCCCTGGATCCCTGGCAGTGCCCAAGGCCAGGCTGGGCAGGGCTGGGAGCAGCCTGGGACAGTGAGAGGGGTCCCTGCCATGGCAGGGGTGGCACTGGGTGGGACACTTTAAGGTCCCTCCAACCCAAACCATTCTGGGATTCCATGTTCTGCTTTCACCCAGTAATTAACCAGTTTGCTGTTTGCACATCAGTAAAAAGAGCAAGATTTTCCTGCAGTTGCATGGCAAGAGTTGCTTAAAATTCAAGTTTTTTAAGCAAACACATCTGCTTTTAAAGACAGATCCCAGAGCAGTGTAAATAATGCTGCCTTGATCACCTTCCACCCTGGCCTGGCCTGCTTTGATCAGATAAATGTGAAGCATCATGTTTCTCTGCCCTGATCAGATATCTACCAGGCCTTGGAAGCAGCTTTCCAACACAAATATTGGAAATTGCCCACTGTAATTCCCTATTAGTATTCCTTCTGAAAAAAAAAAAAAAAAAAGAAAAAAAAAGAAAAGAAAAAGAGAAATGCTGGCACAGCAAATATTTGAGTAACAGTTCTGAAAATTCTCGTGAAGACTGATCAGGAAATGGGGCAAATACAAAGTGGCTCCCAGCTGAGAAGCTGAATAAGGAATTTTTCATTTTCCCTTTCCATATTTATTCATGTGCAGGCAGAGCAGCAGCATTAAGTGCCACGTGTTGACAGGCACTTCATTAGCTGCACTTTGAAGTGAAAGCTCATCAGAAGATGGATATTTAAGAGACTGCCTGGAAAGAGAAGCTGGAGCTGAATCCTGCATCTATTGAGTGTTGTGGTTGCTGTTTGTGACTTCAAAAGCAAAGCTACTCCTGACTCTGAATTCTGCACCTATTTGAGCTTGGATTCTCTGTCCTAGCAAAAGGACAGAGCATTAAATGTGCCAGAAAAAGATAAATTCACTGCAGAACACCCCACAGAGTCTTCAAACCAAGCTGAGTTTGAGGCCAACCTGTTTCCTTTTGGCTTTTTTGTACATCTCTCCTCTTTATTTATTTATTTTTTTAAAATCCTTGATGCTTCATTAAGAAATGACTGAATTCAGATGGATTTATTGCTGCTTTACACTGAAACTACACACAGCAGCCTGCCAGAAGGCCTCTTCTCTCCTCATTTCATCCTGATGTTCAGCACACATCCTGCTTCCCAGCTCTGTTTTCAAATAAGCCAGACTACTCAGAGGAGGAGGTTTCTGTAGCAATAACAACCACAGAAAAACCTCCCTCTCCCTCTTATTCCCAACTTTCCTCTCATTCCAAGCACCCGATTCCCTCAGTTCCCCTGGAAATTCAGTCCCAAGTGGCAAATGTTGGATTTGATTATTTTCAAGCATGTTTACTCTGTAAATATCTAAACACCTTTGTTTTTTTTAACATAAATAAAATATCCAAACTGCATCTCCAGTGGGAAAACTCAGCTAAAGAAGCTGCAGGAGCAGCAGCCACTCAGGGGCATCTGGGTGTTTGGAAGCAGCAAATTTCTGGGATTTGAGCTTGAGCAGAAGCCCAGAAAAGCAGTTATTTAACATCCAGTGACAGGTCCCATCCTTCTACCTGCATTCTTTGTGCTTGTAGTCCTCAACTTGTTCTTTAAAAATATGTGTCTTTATAAGTGTATTGCAATATTCACATTCCCATTCAGCTCAGGTAAATCACTGGAGAGAATTTAAAGGTATTAACAGATTTTTCTGTGTCTGCAGCTTCCAGTGCTCGGGGACACAGAACTGGGTGTTTTCCATGGGAATCCCACATCATCATCAGGGATGTGCTCATGTCACCTTCCAGCAGGAGGCTCGGATGCCTGGGATCCAAACCACGGGTTTGGATGTTTGGGATCCAAAACACAGGCTCGGATGCCTGGGATCCCAAACACAGGCTCGGATGCCTGGGATCCAAAACACGGGTTTGGATGTCTGGGATCCCAAACACAGGCTCGGATGCCTGGGAGCCCAAACACAGGCAGCACACAAAATGCTGGATACCCAGGGCACGGAACAGCCCTGCCCCTGGAACTCGGGCAGAGCTGCAGCTCTGCAGGTGCTGGAGGCTGGTTCCACCCAGCCTCTCTCATTTTTGGGCATGAGGTGGGATTTCCTTTAGCACAGACATTCAGTGATGGGGCTCCTGATTTCAGCAGGAAATCTGGCTCCTACACGAAGGAGGAGCCAGTTAAGTTCCTCCCTGGCCAGGGATGTGAGCTGCATCTCTTACCCCTCACACTGAAGAATGCCCTGAGCTGTACAAAATTCCCAACCCATCTGGCCAGGCTCCAGCAGCCTGGGCAGACTTTGGGAAGTTCTCCACAGAACAGGTGAGATATTTTGCAGGGCAGGTGAGACATTTTGCAGGGCAGTTATTCTGCAGGAGCCAAGAACTTTTTTTTGTGGTCAGCTGTGACAAACAACATCCAGAACAATGGGAGGTGAGAACAAAGGTGAGGATGCCACGGGCTGGCTTCAACATGGGATTCACCCTTCTCTTCCAAGGGAAAATTCCATAAATCAGCAGAGTTATATGCAAAATTAGCATGGAATGAAGGACAAATATGCATGGATGGGAAGAGCATCACAAGCTGCTTTAGAGTTAGGATTTTGTAACACAGGAGCCTGAAAATCAATGTTTCTGTTACCTCACAAACTCTTTAAACTTCCATTAAATATTCCAGGGAATTTTCTCACTACAATTTATTGCAAGATTAAGTATTGGAATGGCATCATAAAAAATGCCAGTCAGGTTTGGTTTGTACCAGGAAACTGTAATTAATTATGAACAAGTCATTAATGTTTTAATTTTATTAAAAAATGAAGCTGAGATATCAAATTTAAGGTTTTGGGAAGAACTGCACACTTGAATTCATTTGGAATATTATTATTCCTTCAGTAATATGCAGATTACTTTTTTCCCCTCAAAAATGAGATAGTGGAAAGAACATTTTTGGTTTTAAAATGTATTAAAGAATGCCCTATGCCCTTGATTATAAAGCCCCCTACTCACCAGAAATTCCACGTGGGTGTCTGGAGGGAGAACTAAATATTAATTATGTTCCTCCCCCACTGGAAGGGTCCCTGCTCCTGCATTCTCTGGGCTAAAAAGCTGCAATTCTCTGCTTGCCTGCCGTGATTATCCTCAGAGAATGCAGAAATCTTTAAATACAGAGCTTGAGACTAAAAATTTTGGTTAATTTTTGGTTTTTAACATAAAAGCTTATGTCTTCTGAAACAGCCTTTGCTTGACTGTGCATTTTAAGCCCTTTAAAGTACTCATCAAACCCAGATTTTTTTTCTACTCCAAACTAAATCAGAATTAAAATAAATTAATTTTCTTGTTTGCAGTGAGAAATCCCTATTTCTGCAGGGAATTCCATGTTCCAGCCTCCTCTGTGCTGTATTAGGTGCCCCAAAATGCCAATTTCAGCCAAGTTCTGGTGTACATTAATGACACAAAACCTGACCTGTGGCTGGGCTGAGCTCCCAGACCTCTCTGGTTTCAGGCTTTGGTCACTTCTACACAATTCATTGTTTGTCAGCGCCTCTGATTTTGGTTTTTAGTGGCCAGGGGGGTTTAGTCTGTGTTAGTAACTGGCAGGAATTATTGCTCCAGGAATTTCTCCAGGGATTGCTCCAGAACCCCGAGCTCACAGAGGGCCCAAGGAGAGGAAGGTGCAGCTCAGGATGGTTCCAGAAATGCTCCCCCAGGGACCTCCAGAGCTCTGCACATCTGGCCAGATGTTGGCAAAGAACTCCTCTCTCTGTGCCAGCTGTGACTGCTCAGGGTTCTGCTGCTCCTGGAGCTCCATACCAACCTTGTGCCTAAAGAGTTTGCTAAAGGTGCTGTGGCCCAGCCTGGGGCTCTCTGCCTTCTTTTTCTTGGCTCCTTTGGAGGGGGATTCTGCTCCTGCCTTCGGGCCAGGCTGTCCCCCAGGGCCCTTCTCCGCCTTGGAGCCCTTGGCACAACAGCAGTGCAGGTGAGGGTTTGCTGCAGATATTTGCTTCATCAAAGACATTATTCCATCATCACACACGTGGGATTAAAGGAAAAGATTCCCTCTTAGCTCTGGATAAATTGTGGGTTTTTTCCTGAGTGATTTCTCAGCTCTCATCAGAGTTTTTTTCACACCAACAGCAAAATAAAAGCCAAGGCAATCCACCTGATTCCAAATTAAACCACAACTTTCCCTCTAAAACCTCCACTAAACTGAAACCTAAATCCCACAAACATCTGCCTTTCCAAGTCATGAAGAAGCAATTTAGGATTTGTAATTTTAAAACAGGCAAATATATAAATCTTTGGAGGAACCTTCAGTCTTTTTATTGCAGCATAATAGGGACTTTAAAATGTTTTATATAATGCATTATTTAGGAAAAGGGCAGTGTGAATATTCATGATATACACTGCCTAAATATTTCAAGCTTGCATTAATGCCCTTGAAATTAATTAATTAATTGTTCACAGTCCCAGGATTTAAAGCAGGAAGATGCCTTTGACTACCCAGCATGGAGGAGGATGAAGGATTATTCCTTACTAATTCTCACAGCAAAAATGACCCATTTCCCTGCAAAATTCCTGCAATTCCTCAACACAGAGTGACACAGGATCACCTCACGGTCTGCCACAGGAGGGTGAGGTCAGGACTTGGGGCAGACCTTGTGCAAACAATCTCTTGGTTTGTAGGAACTGCCCGAGCAGGTGTGACCGGGCTCTGAACCGGTGTGGGCACAGAGGAAGGGACAGCCAAGAAGGGACAGCCACTGAGGGATGGCCACTGAGGTGATGCCTTTAGGTTTAGCTTTTCTATTTTCTATTTTTTTTCTATTTTTCAGGTTCTGTGCTGCTTTGGTGTGTGGGTCTGGGTTCACATCAGGGGATGGTGAGCTCTGTGCACAGAGCAGGGACCTGTTCTAGGTCAGCCTGCCCAAGGCATCTGAGGGACTGCCACCACCGAGGGTGTGCCCGGCTGCTGGCAGCACACGTGGCCCAGCAGCTGATTAGAGCTGGAGCCAGCACTGTTAAGAGCCTGACCCTACAGAAACAGAAGGGTTTTCCCCCCCAGGGGGTGCTGGGGCACTGCCCAGGCTCCCCAGAGAACATTCCCTGCTCCAAACCCTCCAGAGCTCCAAGAGTGCTTGGACAAGGCTCTGGGTGGGATTGTTGGGGGTCTGTTCAGGATGAACCTTTGGATCCCTTCCAGCTCCAGGATATTCCATAATTCTATCATTTGAAGGCACAGCAGCCACCCAACAGCCCCACAGCACTCAGGAACACTTCACTTAGCAAAGCTTTACCTTTAACACACTTCAGTTGGTTTTTTTGGGAAAAAAAAGTACCATTATTTCTTATCAGCCAAAAAATCTGCAGCTTTTCTACCTGGGAGCTGATAAATTAACCTCCTCAACATATTTCCCCTTTATTGAAGTACAACTGCCATATCAGATAAAGGAATTCCCAATAAAAAAGAACTCCCGTTTAATCTCCTGTAAGGAGTTTGCACATCCTGCAAGTCCACCTGGGTTTGTTTGCCCTGCCAGGTGTGCCAGCAAACCAAACCCACCCAGAACAGTCCTGTCCAAATGACAGCAGCACCAGCAGTCACCTGGCACAGGTGACAGGGTCAGGGAAGGAAATGGGGTTGGTTCCCTCCAAACTGGATTGTTCACCACCTCTGGGAAGAGCTGCAAGGCTCCCTGAGCCTGGGCACTTTAATAACTGCATTTTCTGCATTGCTTGGAAAAGCTTCACACTATCTGATGATTTTTAGAGTTATTCAGAGTTATTGAGAATAATTTTCAGAGTTATTCAGAATTAAATCCCCCATGTACTCACCAAGCTTGCAGCAAAGACTGAATATTGAATAGGACAAAAGAATAAAAAAAATAGGAGAAACCCCAAAAATGGGATTTTGGATAATATCTGTATAGGAAAAACACTTCTATTTTTAGGGTTTTATTCCTTTTTTCTTAATAAAGTTTTTTCAAGGCACAAGGAAAACTGTTGTACAAGCAAACAGAACTTTTTTCTGGACTCAAAGTTTTCATGGAAATTTTAGATGAAAAACCAGCAAAGACTGAATATTGATTAGGACAAAAGAATAAAAAAATAGGAAAAAACCCAAAAATGTTGTGATTTTTGGCTAATATCTGCACAGGAAAAACACTTCCATTTTTAGGGTTTTATTCCTTTTTTCTTAATAAAGTTTTTTCAAGGCGCAAGGAAAACTGTTGTACGAGCAAAAAACTTTTTTGTGGACAGAATAAAAAAAATAGGAGAAACCCCAAAAATGGGATTTTGGATAATATCTGTATAGGAAAAACACTTCTATTTTTAGGGTTTTATTCCTTTTTTCTTAATAAAGTTTTTTCAAGGCGCAAGGAAAACTGTTGTACGAGCAAAAAACTTTTTTGTGGACTCAAAGTTTTCATGGAAATTTTAGATGAAAAACAAGTCAGAGAAACAACCAAAAGTGTCACAAATCATCACCAAGCCTGCAGAAAACACAGCAGATTTTGATTGTAACAGATGATACTAAGAATTGCACTGTTTAGTCTCTTGCTTTTCAATTTTTCCAGTGGAAAAATATTTGAAATTTCTTAAAATGATTACATTAGTTACGGAAAAAACCCAACAAAATGAAGAGGAAATCCCTGTGTGAAAAACACCTAATGACCAATGAACAAGGAACTGCCTACCTTGTCTTCAGAATCACTTTTGGCTTCAGCTTTGCTTGGGGAGACCTTAAAGGAATTTGAGAAAAAACAGTCACTCAACCCAGCCTTTCAAAGGATTGAAAAGATAAGCTTGAAATGAAAGTGTCACCAATCATCACCAAGCCTGCAGAAAACACAACAGATTTTGACTGTAACAGATGATATTAAGAATTGCACTGTTTAGCTTCTTCCTTTTCAATTTATCCAGCAGAAAAACATTTGAAATTTCTTAAAATGATTACATTAGTTACGGAAAAAACCCAACAAAATGAAGAGGAAATCCCTGTGTGAAAAACACCTAATGACCAATGAACAAGGAACTGCCTACCTTGTCTTCAGAATCACTTTTGGCTTCAGCTTTGCTTGGGGAGACCTTAAAGGAATTTGAGAAAAAACAGTCACTCAACCCAGCCTTTCAAAGGATTGAAAAGATAAGCTTGAAATCGGCAGGTTTTATTTGCACAAAGGGAAAATACAAATACTGCTTCCCTCAAGTGGGAAAATTGATAATGCAAATATTCCTTGAGAACAACGTAATGGCTACGATGAAAAATGCCTGGAGTGAATATTTACAATTCAAGCTTCTAATCAATTAATAAAAATGAACTTTTAGAGGTGGTACAAAAGGAATATCAAGCAGAAAGTCTTTGAGACAGTTCAAGATCTGTATCTGTGTAGAAGTGGAAGTTTGCAGAGCAGGTGACACTCACTTGATCATTTCAGTGTCCCCCACACCCTCCTCATCCCCCCAGGACAGAGAATGTTTTACATTTATTGACAAATTTTACAGAATTTATACAACTTCTCCACTCCCACAGGGGATTTTTGGAAGCAAGTGAAACCCAAAGAGATGGAAAGGCAAGGCAGAACTCACCAGTGTTTTGAGGAAGCTCATGACTGAGCCCTGTCCTGCAGCTGCCTGGGGACTGTCCTGCTGTGCCTGTGCCCTCCCAGGTGCTGCAGCAGCCGGGCCCTGTTCACCTGCAGAGTCCTGCCCAGGCTCCTCTTGGCTGCACTCATCTATCTCCTAAAAAAGAAAAGGGGGCACAGATTGCTCAGTGCCAGCTTGCCTGATTCCCAGTGGAATGCAGAAGTGGCTTTTGTGACTCGCTGGGAGTCACAACAGCAATTCCAACCATTCCTGCCCAGCCCACGGCAGAACAATCCAGCATTTATCCCTCTCCTTCCCCTCTCTGCTCAGACATGCAGCGCTGCTGCTGCTGCTGGGGGGAACGTTGTTCTCAGCCACAACAAGCACAGGGCGAGCCCCAAACTCCACTTTTGTCTTTTTGTGGAAAATGGGAGCAAACGCTGAGATTCTGGCCCTGCCAGCTCCGTGTCGGAGTGCACCATCCAAAGATGGCTTTGCATTCTCTATTTCGCCATGCCAGGAATCATTTTTATCTATCGAACACCAAAGTGACACACATTAAAAGAAGGGAAAAGGCAACAAATCAAAGTAATTCCTCTTAGCCAGATGGAGCTGCCTCTTCTCTTCATGGAATTACACTTTCCAGAGCCCCAAAAGGTTTTCCAGTGCTCAAGCACTCACAGAAGTAGGTAACATTTAGCTACTTGTTTTCTGTTTAGACACCTTGACAAGGGTCTGCTTCTAAAAAAACACTTCTTGAACCAGTTGTGGAGAGTTTATCACCTCTCACACTGAATTTACCTTCCATTTTGGCCACCTTTGTCTTGAACCTGCACAGGAAAGCTCACGAAAAGTGTTGTGCAGGAGAGAGTGACATCAAAGAATGCCTAAGTGACATCAAAGGTATTTTTCCCTAACAAACCCATTATAGGTCAGCACTTTTTTTAGTGGGAAAAATTAGAATAAAAGCGTTCTAAAGAACCTTTCCCTATGCTGGGTGATTAAAATAGCACAATAATTGTACAATCTGGATTTCTTTATGTCACCAGTGGCAGGAATAGACTTGAAATGCTGTAAGACTTCAGAGGGATCAGGACAGCTGGGCGTGGGGTGGGCAGTGCCAGCAGAACACAGGGAGTTAAAGCAGGCACTGAAATGCCAGAAGGGACCTCAGTGTCATTCCCCACCCACCCAGTTGTGCAAGCTGGCCCAGGAAGCAGCAGGGCACTGCTGGAATGCTCAGCAGGCCCCTGAAGGGTCTCACACAGCACTTTGTGCAGCTGCCAGCCCCAGAGTGGCCCCAGGAACAATCTGTCCCATGCAGGACACGCGTGGCCACGCCAGCCCGGGGTGGCACACACAGAGCTCTGGTGCCATGGAAAATGCTGGCTCTGCTCCAGGTGTTCAAGGGACAACTGAGGCAGCAGGAGGAGGATGTGCTGCTAAACAAAACCGGATTCACAGCCCAAGTGCTTGGTGCCATCACACTCTTTAGAGCTGGATGCTCTCAAGAAAAGAAACAGAGTTAACAATGTTTGGAATTACAGACAAGCCCAAGCCCTGGCCTTGGGGTGCATTTCCACACAGCTGTTTCCAGCACCTCTGGCTGATCCAGGACTGAAGAGAAAGCCACTGCAGATCCTGAGGAGTGGGGCCATCCCAAAATCCCTGAACTCCAACCTCACATCTCAGTTGTGCCCCATCAGATGTGCCCATTTCAACTCCTGTGTTCTGCTGGCACTGCCCACCCCACGCCCAGCTGTCCTGATCCCTCTGACGTGTTACAGCATTACAAGTATATTCCTGCCACTGGTGACATAAAGAAATCCATATTGTACAGCTCAGGTGTGCCCCATCGGATGTGCCCATTCAACTCCTGTGTTCTGCTGGCACTGCCCACCCCACGCCCAGCTGTCCTGATCCCTCTGAAGTCTTAAAGCATTTCAAGTCTATTCCTTCCACTGGTGGCATAAAGAAATCCATATTATACAATTATTGTGCTATTTTAATCACCCAGCACGGGGAAAGGTTCTTTAGAACGCTTTAATTCTAATTTTTCCCACTAAAAATGACCCTGCCCAAGCTGAAGTTGCCCTTGGCTACAGAGAATCACTCCAGTCTGGCTTGGAGAGGGGCTGTGATCCATCCTGTGCTCCCATGGGAATATTCCTGCAGGAAGAGCCCGGGCTGGGGCCATCAGCACAGGAATCAGGCACAGAGAACACTCAGCCCTGCAGGATCACGTCTGCAGAGCCACAAAATCGCCACAAAAGCCTCTGTGGCAGCTCCCTGCTCAAAGGCCTGGGGGTAAATAATGAAAGAAACCCCAGGAGAAACAGAAGATCAGTATTAGGAGTTAATAGATGCTATGTAAATGTTCAATTCATGTCTTTGAGAAGCTAAATTTGGGGGTAATAAACACCTTAAATGTACTGTAGTTTCAGTTCAGTCATCGGGGAAAAAAAAACCCAAACATATCAAAAGAATGTATTCCTGCCAGCACTTTTGTTTGCATGAATCATGGCTCAGTGAAACATTTCAGGCATATAATTTATCTTTTCTTTGGCTTACATAGTAAATGCTTCATGAATTCATGAATTCTGCCCTTGTTTTAATTATGCTGCGCTCTGAATGTAGTTTTGTAGACCACAAAAATAAAGAGTGGCTCAGCAAACACAGAATGTTTGTGCAGCTCTTAAGCTACAACTGTGGAGCCTCTCTCTTACTCACCAGCAACGCTGTTTGTTTTGTCTTGGCACTCAGTGCAGGGAAACTTTGCTTTTAGCATTTACAGATACTACAAGTCATAATCCACAAAGAAAAAAATAGAGAGAGAGAGAAAAAAGAGGAGCTGTTGGCAGCGATATCTTGATTTTTAGTATGATTATTTGGTAACAGTTTGTAGTTACTACAGTAACAGTAATTAAATTAGGCTTGGTCATTCTCCCATCCAGCAGGAGAATTGGAACTTCAGAGGGAACAGAAGGCAACTGTGCTGCAAGGCAGAGCCACAGCCTTTGTTTTAGGGATTGAGTTAAATTTGGCAACACATTGCAGTGTTTAGCTGATGTATTTTCCCCAAAAAAGGTGCTTAACTCCTCTCTGCCCCCACCATATATTCCTTTTCATGTCTGAAAGAACCAAAGACAAAATTATAGCCCAAAAATTCAACTGTATGTTTAAAATTCCTGTCCCTGTGGTCCAGATCTGTCATTTATTTACCCCAATTTTGTGATTCCTCAAAGATGTCCATGGTGCGGCTTTAAGCACACACCTAGGAGATGTGGAGGCGTTTTTGATAACCAGACCTGTCCTCAGGAACGTTCCAAAAAGCTGCAGACACTCCCAGCCAGCCCCAGCACCACCCAGGGCCCAGCTGTGCCTGGGATTTCCAGGTTATTCCCACCAGGCACCTCCAGGATGGGGATGGCTACAAGGGGACTGGAGCAGAACTGCAATCAGGAATTAATGAGAAATCCAGGTGTTATTGATATAATAAAGCTTGATCTGGATGAGCAGTGCTTCCCTGCTTGAACTGGGAGAACGATTTAGATTCCCTTCTTTCCCTGATCATGCTCTCAACAGGACTGTTTGTTCCCAGCAATGTTTAACTCTGAATTTTGGTTAAAACTGCTCCTAAGTGTTTTTTCCTTGGATTTCCACAGCATTCCTTCAGCAGCACCAGCTGTGACCTTCCCCACTCTGTAAATGCAAGCAGTGCTCTTTCCCTGATCATGCTCTGCCTCACCTGAGCTTTCAACAGGACTGTTTGTTCCCAGCAATGTTTAACTCTGAATTTTGGTTAAAACTGCTCCTAAGTGTTTTTTCCTTGGATTTCCACAGCATTCCTTCAGCAGCACCAGCTGTGACCTTCCCCACTCTGTAAATGCAAGCAGTGTCACTGCAGTGAAATATGAAATGAGAATCTGGCATTTGGTGGGAAAAGAGACAATTCCTGCAAGCCACGGGGAGGACTTGTTGTGTGTGATAGTCAAAAATATCTGCAGGAATTTGGGGTGTTGAAAAGCTCCATTCTGAGAGGCTGAACACAGAAGTGCCAGTGTGCCCTGAACAGAGGATTCATTGCAAATTATCCACCCTGCTCTGCTTAGGTGCTGAATGCTTTTATGGGTTCCTTAAATGTGCATCCCGAGCTGCCTGAAACACCAGGGATGGGAGCACTCCTGAGGGGCAGGGGTGAAAAATGTAACAGTTCTTTCTTAAAAATGAACCCTCAGGAAAATACTGAAATGTGTAAATTTATACAAGAAATGTGATCTTCAAATCTAAGAAGGCAAGATAGAGAAGACAAAGATTGAAAAGAAAAGAATTTTGGGGCAACTTGCAATGCTGGCATTGTAAGCAGTGAGTATCCCATGAGGTAAGTTCAACACTACCCAAAGCATCAGTGATCACCATCTTATTTGTAAGCCTGAACTGGCCAATAAAAGCAATTATTAAAGTGGTATTTACACATTGGTTTTCCCCTCCTGTTCCTGACATTAGACCAAGTTTCAATTTGATCACCAATTTCTGCATTCCACCTCTCCATCAGAACTCAGAGTTACGCCATTATTCCCTTTCAGAGGATGGGCTTTTTCTGGAGTTAATTACCTGAAAATTATACCTTTGCTGACAGCAGATCTGGCAGGAAGTGTAAAATCTAAACTCATATTTCAGCTCCTTTGACCAGGGTGCTCTTTAAGATCTGTAGTTTCTTATATCACATCCTCATCCTGTAAAACCATTTCTAATGAACCACTTTTCCTTGACTAAAACATCACAATAAGCTGGAGTACAAAAATCATTGCTGCATATTATTCCTTATTTTGCTGCATAGGGTATCCAGCAACTATTGCTAGATAAGTAGGGCTATTTTAAAAACGACACACCAAAGAACTTTTAGAAACTCATCCAGTGTCAAACTCCAAGGTCCTAAAGCACAAGAAACTGGTTTAGTTTCAGGTATTTCTGCTTTCATTTGCAGCTGGCAGCTGCTCCTCCTGGCAGTTGGAGCTGTGTTGCCCAAACCTTTATTGTAAAAAAGGGAATTATAAATTGAATTAAACTGGAGCTCAGGATTTAGTCATGAGCCAGAGCTTCAGTCCTTGGCCACAGGTTCATCTCCCACACCTCCGTCCTGGAGTGTTACCTGTGGTCATTTCCAGGGCATCACTGATTCATTCCCACCCCACACGGAGTTACCCCCCTCTGCCAATATTCCCAAGAGGTTTCACCAGCCAATAACGAAATTAAAGGCTATTCCATGAATATAATGAAGCACTTGCCTGGCGCAGCGGTTCCCCGTGGGGCGCGCCGGCCGCGATGCTCCCGTTGGGAACGTCCAGCCCCTTCCTTCCCTCCTCAGGGTCCCCTCGCGTCCTTCCCGTGCCCTTCTCCAGCCTGAAGATCCTGTCCAGGAGCGTCACTTGTCTGCCCTTTGGGGCGGCCACATCGTGTCCCTCAGGTGTTCCCGTGAGCTCCGCGTCCTGCGGCGGGGCCTGGCCGGGGTTTTTATGGCTGTCCTCGTGTGGCACAGCTGCCCCGGGCCCCTCCGTGCCCTCACTCGGGCCTTTGTTCAGCCCGGTGGCACCAAGGGTGGCCTCTCCGGGGGCTGCAGCCGCTGCCGGCTCCTCGGAACGCGCTGGCACAGCCCAGGGGAAGGCCAGCAGGGAGCGGGGCCTGGCAGCTGGCAGGGCCCTCCTGGCAGCGCTCCCGCCGCTCTGCCCGCCCGCCCGGGCACCGGGGCCCGGCTCCGCCGAAGGAACGGGAACGTTATCCCGGCCTGCAGGCGCCCTGGCATCCGCTGCAACACAGGGAGAGAGGGAATTACCCACGGGCACCAACACAGGGAGAGAGGGAATTACCCACGGGCACCAACACAGGGAGAGAGAGAATTACCCACAGGCACAGGGCACAGCCATTATCCCGGCCTGCAAGTGCCCTGGCATCCACTGCAACACAGGGAAAGAAGGAATCACCCACGGGCACCAACACAGAGTGAGAGGAATTACCCACGGGCACATTATCCTGGCCTGCAGGAGCCCTGGCATCCGCTGCAACACAGGGAGAGAGGGAATTACCCACGGGCACCAACACAGGGAGAGAGGGAATTACCCATGGGCACATTATCCCAGCCTGCAAGTGCCCTGGCATCCGCTGCAACACAGGGAAAGAAGGAATCACCCACGGGCACCAACACAGAGTGAGAGGAATTACCCACGGGCACATTATCCTGGCCTGCAGGAGCCCTGGCATCCGCTGCAACACAGGGAAAGAAGGAATCACCCACGGGCACCAACACAGAGTGAGAGGAATCACCCATGGGCACCAACACAGGGAGAGAGGGAATTACCCATAGGCACATTATCCCAGCCTGCAGGTGCCCTGGCATCTGCTGCAACACGGGAGAAAGGGAATTACCCACGGGCACAGCCACGTTATCCTGGCCTGCAGGCACCCTCTCATCCGCTGCAACACAGGGAGAGAGGGAATTACCTACGGGCATAGACAGGGAGAGAGGGAATTACCCACGGACACCAACACAGGGAGAGAGGGAATTACCTACGGGCATAGACAGGGAGAGAGGGAATTACCCACGGGCATGGGCACCGCCAGCCTCGGGCACTGTAGGCACGAGCACTCGCGCTGGGATGAGCTGGTCTGAGGGCACACTGGGGACCCCGTGCTGCTGCTCAGCTCCCACAGAGGATTTCTGCCACCCCTCACTGAAATCAGTGCACATTTTACTCTCTGTTCATCCCCAGAGTGGATTTCCACCACCCCTCACTGACATCAGTACAAATTTTACCCTCTGTTCATCCCCAGAGCTGAGTTCTGCCACCCTTCACTGAAGTTAGTGTGAATTTTACCCTCTGCTCATCCCCCGAGCTGATTTCTGCCCCCCTGCAGATCCTCACTGAAATCAGTGTGAATTTACCCCCTGCACAACCCCCTTGCAGTGTCAAAGTCAGACACCAGCCCTGTTTGACACTACTCAGCCCAGTGGACAGCAAATTCAAATCAGTGAGATGCAAAAATTGATATCAATATATCACGTGCTCCTCTGTCAAAGCTCGAGTACCAAAAGGAATGGGAAGCACCAGGACTGATCCCATTTCTGGCTGGCCAAACTCCCAGCAGGGAGTTCTGTGCAGCCAGAACTGATCTCATTCATTTTCCCTCGCCCTGCTGCCTGCTCTCCTCAGTGCAGCTCCTACCTGCACCTCTCCTCTGCCTGTGGGTTATTCTGAGCCTGATTTGAATACTGATAAATCACATCCCAGCCACGTTTCTTATCCTTACATTTCTCTTTACATTTTACATTTCTTCTCTCACAAACTACGGCTCAGAATCACGTTTCCTCCCCCAAAACTCACACAAATCATTCCATGTGTACACATGTTGCCATCACACCTTAGATGCAAAAACCCCTTTTGATTTAAAAATGTATTTTATGGTTTTATAAAACAATGGTGCTTTGATAGCACTGTTGAGGTGAAAATCCCTGGTATGGATTCACAGGAAGGAAAAAGCAGCTCCTGCTTTACACAAGACAAAAGAAAAATAATCTTGCTTGGATCTGTTTTGTGGCTGGGAGGCAGGAGCACAGATGAGGTGTGAAACCCCAATAAAAAAGGGTCGTGTCAGAGGTAAATCTTCCAGCTCCCCCTGAGCTTCAGCTCCTCTTCCCTACTTGGACTGGAATATGGATCCGATTTCCCTGTCAGTCATCAGCACATTTCAAGGATGAATTTAGATGTATTTAATTATAACTGTGGGAAACTGACAGGCTCAAACCGACTTGCTGAATTAGGACGGGAAAATTGTCAGTTTCAATGTAAAATTGAAATAGTTTCAAATTATAATTGTAATAGTCTAGTCAATATTATGCCTTTCACATTTTCTTTTAAGAGAAAGAAAACCCCAGACACCAAAAAAACCTGACTGAAACACACCTTCCACACAGCACAGATCTTCAGTGTGAAATTCTCTGAGATGAGGAAAACAGAACAATTTTAGATCCCAGCTTTCAAAACTTCCCCTTGGCTTTTCACAGCAAAATTCCCCCAAGCTTCCCACCTCCCCAGGGATTCTGGATAATCCCAGAAAACATCAGCAGGCTGATGTGTCTGCATCCATCACTCTGTCCCTGGCAGCTCCAGGGACCCGGGGCACATCCCTGGGAGCTCCAGCAGCAGAGCAGAGCCCAGGGCCCAGCCTGGAGGTTCCTTTTCCACAGCTTTAATGCCATGGCTGAGTGTCCCCACGGGCCCCTGCACCACAGCCCAGGCTGCTCCTGGTGAGCAGGAAGGGGATTTTCCATGAACCCCAGGATCTTTGGGTTGGGAGGGAGCTTGGGGACCACCTCACCCCACCCTGCCACGGCAGGGACACCTCCCACTGCCCCAGGTGCTCCCAGCCCTGCCCAGCCTGGCCTTGGGCACTGCCAGGGATCAGAACAGCCACAGCTGCTCTGGGAATTCTGTGCCAGGGCCTGCCCACCCTCCCAGGGAAGGATTTTTTCCCAATATCCAACCTAACCCTACTCTCTGTCAGTGTGAAGCCATTCCCTGTGCGCTGTCCCTCCATCCCTTGGAAATCCTCTCTCCATCTTTGCTCCTGGCTCCTCCAGGCCACACTGAGCTCACCCCAGAGCTTCTCCTGCCCAGTGAGCAATGCCAGCAGTGCCAGCAGAGCTGCCCCATCCCCTGCCCACCCTGGAGCCTCCTCTGGCCCCTCTCCAGCAGCCTCTGCCCGTGCTGGGGGTGCAGTGGGGCAGTGCTGGAACATGCCAGCAGCACCTCAAAGGACTTCACCCAAACATCTGCCAGCAGCAGAGGCACAGCTGCCACTGTCAGGGCTGTGGTGACAGCAGCCACAGCTGCCCCCAGCACCCCACAGCTGCCAGGACCTGGCTCCCAACCCCTTCTCTTGGATCATTTTTAAGGAGCCTTTTGGTCCCTCTTTTTTGGGCAGAGTGGCCAGAGCTCCTCAGCACAGCCTGTTCTGGCAGGCAAAGATTTCCACTTTCTGGGCATACGTGAATTTTTTTCCACCCTGCATTCTCTTTCTGCTGTTCCTGTAAGGAAGCAGCTCCACTGGCAGGAATCTTTGGGCAGCAATATCCTCCTGTGATACTTCATGAGCACCAGTTTTAGTTTCAATGTCCTGACAGGCACAGCAAAAGTGCAAATTACAGCTACTGCAGCACCTACTGAGATACTCAGCTGGGGCCACTAAGGAGCAGCTGTAGTTTCCTGAGCCTCCTGTAGTAAAGTTAGAAAAAGAACTTCTAATTATAGTTGGAAACTTGGGAAGGAAGCAAAAATCAAAAACCCTTCCCCAGCTAAAGAAAGGAGAAACAATATCCATAGGAAAATAATTGTAAGAGATGCTGAACTCCTGCTTTATGTAACAGATAACAAATGAACCACAGGAAAACTGGCTTTGGCTCAAAACTGGGGATATAAGCTCAGCTCTAAGAAAACCAGCTCAGCAAGTAGCAGCTCAGGAACCTATGGGGCTCCTTTTATCTCAGATGATCATGGAAGGAATGGGAGCCCTGGCAAATGTCACTGCCTGGGCTCTGCTGTGTGTGTGTTGTGTCAGGAGAGCTGCAGCTGCTCCAAGGAAATTCTGCTCAGCCAGAGGCAGAGCAGATCCCACCAGTGCTGGCCTGCACTCAACAGGCACAGCAAACTGAGGAGAAAAGCCTTGAAATTCCAGTATTTGGGTGAAAAGTGTGAGTTATTTTTGTTTTTAAATACACACAAATGACATTTTTTCCCCAGACTTATTCCTCAATCTGGAGGCAGAATTGCAAAGATAAGCAAAACCCCCCAAATTCTAGGCCAGGTCTTTGAGCAGATCAAAGCTGCTCGTTGTGACTGAGATTAAAAGCTGCTCTGAGATGAAAATCAATACTCAATTTACAGACTGCATTTCAGACTACTCCTGCTCGGGCATTTGCCTTTCAACTCTTTAACAAAAGACAGTCACGCTCCAGAAGATTTGTCTCTCTTTCCCCTTCCCTTCATCAGGGCGTGTTAAAAAGGAAATTTTGTGGATACACAAAGTCCCTCTTCTCTAAGAACACATTTTTTGCCTGGAATTTGGCAAATTAAACCAACATTTTTTTCCTTGACTTAGTAAAAAAATAGAGAAGATCAATGGTTAATGCAATATCACAGAACCATGGAATGGTTTGGGTTGGAAGGGTCCTTAAATCTCATCCCATTCCTCTCTTTTGAGCTAAAGCCAGCCACAAACAAATATTTTGCTTAGCCATGGAATTAGAGCCACATGGCACTTTTTTTCTCCCCTGGTGTTCAGAAAATCGTGGACAAAATATTTTAATGGCCATGAAGAAACCATTAAGGGCTACAAGGCAACACTTGGCACTGGGAATTCCAGCAGGGCAGCACAGGCTACAACAGCCCTGAATGAATTTCTGCAGCAAACACTAATCCAAAATAAAACATTGCCCCTGCCTTTTAAAAGATAAAGAACTCACTAGTATCTTTTTGCCATCTTGCTCCACCATTCCATGCAAATTTTTTTTTTTTTTTTGCTCCAGGAATCATCTTGTTTCACTAATTTAACTCACATTGTTATTTACCCGCAGATTTCCAGAAATTAATGGAAATAGGGGTGGAGGACTCAGCAGCAAGAATAGCAACGCTCATTCTCTAAAAGCATCCCTGAAATATTTCACATTTCAGGCCTTACAGGCACAGGAGCTGCTGCAGTCAGGATTTCTGCTGGGTTCTGCCTGCTAGCAGGATTTGCTGAATGGGATTTGCCCTCTGGGACAAAGGAGCTGCATCTTCACTCAACCTTTCTCCTTTACAATGTTTTAAACTCTTTTGTAATTCTTTTTAGGAGCAGGTCGTTGTTTCAATCTGCATGCAGTTACCACCCAAGCCCACAGGAACTGTTCGTTTTGTCCTCCTGCTGCATTTCTGCTCTGTGCAGCACAAACCAGAGACAGAAAATCCCAGTTCCAACCTCCCCCCCTTCACCTGTTGCTCACCAAGTGGTTTTATTACAGAAAGTACAAAAAGGTTCCCTTTTTTCGGCTCTGGCTCCCCCCAAAATCCTCACTCTATGCCCCAAAAATGCTATTTATTGGAGTATTTCATTTTAGAAATACTACCAACTATGTTTCCCTATTAATACATTCTATCACTTGTATTTCTCCAAAATGACATTGCACAAAAATGGAGATTTCAATGGTATCTCAGTGACTTTAACTGCTTTTCAAAGAGGAAAAAAGTTAAAATACAAGAAATAGCAACACAGGAACGTCTAATTTTTCAACTTGCTACTTAAACTGATTTAGCAGTTACATTAATTAGGTAATCCATTTAAGTAAAGCAGTCCCATATGCTTCATTTTACGTATGAGGAATAAAATGTACATGCATTTTCTAGGACTTCAGGCAGTGAAAATCATCTGGCTTTTATTTCCTCCTCAGAACTCTGCTGGTTTACACCAGAAAAAAGCACACAGAGAGAGGTTTTGCTGGTAGGCAACTGCTGAAAGTGACTTATGGTGGGCTGGCACTGGGAAATTTGGGCCATGGAGCAGATTTTGAGCTGTTATCACATCCATCTGCATTTCCCCACACCAGCCTTTGATTATTTTTACCGAAATTTAGATTTTTCAAGTGCCTGTGACAGACTGAGAGGGTTCTCTTAACAACAAATCATGAAGTGTTTTTCTCAGCACGGAATTATAAAGTATTCTCTTTGCTGATAAGATTGAAGAGGAATTGTTGGGTTTTATTTCTTCTGAAAAGAAAAAGTTTCTTTTCTTTTCAGAATAAATACCAACGAGCGGCTGAACCTCAGAGCTGTGGATGGGGTGCTGCTGCTGCTCAGAAAGGCTCCGAAGCCAGCAAGGGGTGGAAGGAGGAATTAAGGAGGGGTGAAAAGCAAGAAGAGCCACGTGCCTGTGGATGAGACCAACTGCCCTTAAAAATGTGCAGATAACTTCTCAAAACCACTTGGAAACTGTTGTATGTGCAGGGAGGAATGACGAACCTGACTTTTCTAAGACTTTATCACCCTGTGGATAGGAGCACATAGCCAGGACATGGATTTTTATCCTTTCCAACACACGAACTGTTCTCTTCTTGTAAGACATTTCCTGGTGTCCCCCAGAAACCCCAAACCTCTCCAAGAGTCCATAATCCCCCTACACTGCTGCATTTTGTCCTTTCAGAGCCTAAATTCGGCCTCCTTGCAGAAATAATTCCCCCAGGGCTTGTTGGAGACAGGAATTGCCCCAGGAACTCCCCCAGAGCCCGGGCAGAGTTTGTCACAAACTGCCCCAAACAGAGCAGCCCTGCCTGGTGATGCTCCCCACAAAGCCCTCCCCCTGTAAAGCCACTTTTTGGGGCCAGGGCAGAACCAAACCCCAGAGCTCTTAACCAGCACCCAAAGAACTCTGGAAAGAATTCCTTATTTTTCTTTTTGTTGTGTTTCAACTTCGCAGCTTCTGCAGAGCCACATTTCGGGTCAGAGCTGGAACACGGGTCCATCCCCTAATTCAAAGGCATTAATGAATATTTATTGTTCCTTCAGTCCCCGGGGCACTTCCAGCCCCCTTCCCAGCCCCTACCTTCACCATTCACTGCCGGGGGAGGGCTCTGAACAAACACCACAGATCCATTGGTGACACCGTCAGGAGACTCGGAGAGAGGCTGAAATAACAAAGATCGGAGTTTTTAGGGCATCAAAGGGGTGGGAGTTGCACTGGCAGCAGCCAGGGGAGGTGGGAGAGGGGCTGCTCACCTGGTAACTCTTCACTGTGCAGGTGTTGTCATCCTCAGCTTCCTCTGGCACACTCAGGTTATTCCCCATAGCTCCTGTGAGGTGGAGGAGAGAAAAACCCCAAATGACCCTTTCTGTCATTTATATGAACTCTCTAGTTAAGAGACAGCCAATGGGGGCAGGCTGTTAAAACCCCTAAAATCCCACCTGCCCCAACCCCATGGTGCTCAGGGCTCACTGCTGCTCCCCAAAAACAGCACAAACCAACAAACTTTTCTTGTTTGTGGAGGAAAACGGGCTGCAGCCCCACCTGCAGCATCCCTGGGGCTCAGGAGAGAGCAGCAGCACAAGGCTGAAACCTGTGAAGAAATTGCAACAGCTTGTGTGTTTTTGTTTGGTTTTTATTTACTAAAAAGCGGGGAGAAGGAAGAGGCAGCACGGAAAGGCATCACACATGGAGACTCTGAACTGCAGCCTGTGTACGAAGTCACATCAATCTTCTGGGGGTTTGTTTTGGTTTTCTTTTCCTCTTAATTTCAAATACATTTGGGGGCTTTTTTTTTGGTCCCTTCTTTTCTTTTGTCCTTAATTTAGAATACAATTATGTAGCCTCTGATCTTGCTCTGTAAATTCTTTGGGGCCAAACACTCCCCGAAAAACAGTGGAAGAGCAAAGCAGACCCGAGTCAAGAGAGGAGTTCCTGTTGACTTAGGATATAAAAGTGTGTTTGCTGTTAAAGTACCCAAATAAACAACGAGGAGAAAGTCTCCAGCCACACCTGGAGAGAGGGAGGTGCCCAAGGAGAGGAGGCTGGAGCTGTGCTCACCCTGCACAGCCACCACGGCTGCCACAGTTATTATTGCTCTGCTTCACGGTGGGAACCAGGGAAGCTGCACAGAATGGAGGAGAACACCCCCTTTAAATAAATTAGACAAAATTTTAATTGAACCGCCCTAGCTATCAGGGAAAAGAAGGACAGCAGTGGTTTTAGTAAATGACATGGCCCAGGATTGGAATGGGAGAGCAGGGTCAGCTCTCAGCCCCAGCCTGGGTGTGCTCTGACTGCTGAGGGTTTCACTGGGGTTTCACTCCTCAGGATGAATCAGAAATCCTGATCTGGGGTGGGAAACACCCAGTGCCTCCCTGTGGAAGCACAAAGTCCTCCTGCCCTTGCCCTGTGACTGTTTCCCTGCAGCTTCCAGGGTTATCCCACGGCAGGAGAAGAAATCAAGATCAGAACCCAGGCTCGACGGTAAATTCAGTGTCTGCTCCAGTCTGGAGGGTTTGTTTTGCCCTGCACTCCCAAGGCCTGGTCTGTGCCAGGGCACAGCCCAGGCACAGGATGGAATATCTGCAGGTTTGCTTCCTTTCCCACACGTGCTGTAAAATCTGTGTGTGAGAGAGAGGCAAATTCCTCTCTTTTAAAAAATAATTTCAATGATTTGTAGCTGATTCTCAGCCCCTGAAGCTTCCTGTTGATGCAGATTTCCTCACTCCAGGTGAGGTTCTGGAGCTGATGCAGAGCAGGGACCACAGGCTCTGATCTCTGGCAGATTTTGCTCCAGGGGAGCTCCTAAAATCCAGTTTATAATTCTGAAATAAAACACACACAGCGGCCATGTGGAATTTCAAAACACTTCCACTCACAGGAACTCTCTCAAGGAAAGATGGAGATGAACAGGAGGAGTTTTTTGCTAAAAACAGGAAAATTTGCTATAGAGTCCCAAATGTGATCCCAAAATACCAAACTCTGTTCTGTGCTGTGCACATGGAGAGGATGGAGCTGTGGCTCTTCTGGATCCCTGGCAGTGCCCAAGGCCAGGCTGGAGCAGCCTGGGACAGTGGAGGGTGTCCCTGTCCTGGCAGGGGTGGGACAGGATGGGCTTTAAGGTCCCTTCCACCCCAAACCCCTCCACGATTTAGAAAACATCCAATAAATACCACGCTCGTTATTTATTCTGAAAAGAAAACTTCTGCCCTGTTTTACAGAAAAATGACAGGTCACTGCCACCTACAGACAAATGTGAGCAGCAGCAGTGACGATCCAAACTCGCAGATGAATCAGAGCTGCTGTCACAGCTCTGTCCTGGTGCCAGCACAGCTCCAGCCAGCTCTTGACTGTCCCCTGAGCTCCAGAGCTGAGCAAACAGCAGCTCCACCTGGCATTCCCATGGAATGGTTTTGCTTTTCCCAGAGTGCTCAGGCCTCTGTTGATGTGCTCAGATCTGTTTTTCTCTCATTTGATACAGCGAGGTTTAAAGCTGGAGTTATTCAGTGTGAAGGCAAATAAAGGGAAATAAAGGAGCTCTCACGATGTGTTTGTGGAGTAGATAATGATGGAATTGCAGCAGAGCCTTGGAGATCACCCAGCCCCTGCCCAGGCAGGGCCACTGGGGCAGGTGACACAGGAACTCAGCCAGGTGGGTTTGGGGTGGCTCCAGAGGGAGCTCCACACCCTCCTGGAGCTGTGCCAGGGCTCTGCAGGAAGAACTTCCTCACTCTGTGAGAGAAAATGTCACAACTTTCATGGGAGAAGGTGAATTTGGAGGACTGAGAGGGGAAAAGAGATGATTCTGATACAACAACATTCTTCAAAATGAGAGGGAAGCCCTTAAAAGGCAGGAGGAGCTGCAGTAATTCCTGTCCTGAGGCTTCCTTTCTAGGTACAGGCTTTTCACCAAGTTCCAAGGATATTGTCCTTGTGGGGGCTCCCTCAGGCCAGCTGGAATCCAGCCTGACTGGTTCCAAAAGGAACATGAACTGCCAGCCTCTACAGCTCTGAAACAATCCCTTTCCCAAATTATGCCTCACTGCTTCCATTGTAATGCAGAAAATAATGCAAAAGGAAAATGATTGTATTTTTAATTGGTTTTAATGTTATGTGCACCATAGTGTGCCAAGTTCAAGGCTTGGGAAAATCCTCCTTTTTCACTCTCTCTCTCAAAAATCATTGGTTTGGTCCTGGCAGAATGATAGAAACTTTGAAAGTATGAGAGAAAATTATAGCAAAATCTATGATCTGCTGTGTGCTGCCAAAGGCAGCCAAGCCTCCCTTCCCTGATGTATTGACCAGCCTGGAATATTGCAATCACCCGTGTCCATCAGTGCCAGAAGTCCACAATTAACTCCTCACTAAAACTTACCATATGCTGCATTTAAACACCACAGAAAAGAATCAATTTCCCTGCCCTTGGAACCCAGCTGAGCTTGAGGACTTGGCCACATCCAGGTGGAAAAGCAGAATTTTCAGCTCTGATTGACGTGGAGCGAGGAAAGGGCTGATAAAAGCACAGAGATCAGAAATTCTGCTTACCTTGAGAGCAGCTCTGCCTCGTCCTGCAGGGAGAGGACACGGGGTGGGGATGGGGAGCAGGGCCAGGTGGGCAGGAGCTGTGGGCACACAGGGGACAGCAGCAGGGACAGCAGCAGGGACAGCCCAGGGGAGGGCTGCCTGAGTCACCTACAGCAAACAAGGAACACCCAGGAGCAGCCAGGATCCAGCCTGGCAGGGGCTGGGCATGCAGGACATGCTGGCTTACAGTCCCCAAGGCTCTTGGGACAGTTTTCATACAATTCTTTCAGCCACTCCACGCTGGAGCCAAGTGGGAGAAGCAAAAATAGTTCAAACATTCACGCCCTGGGCTCCCAGGGAGGGGACAGCTCCACAATGCCACCAGGGGAGCAGCCAGTCCCAGTGTGGCAGGGGAAAGGCTCTGCTCCCATTCTGCAGGAAAAGCCAGGGCACTGCAGGGGGAAAGGCAGAGCAGGTGCTTTAAACCCCAAATAAAGAAAATGAGACTTGCAGAAGCTCCCAAGATCCTTGGGCAGGAGAGCACAGACAGGACTGCTGGAGCAGAGCAGCAAAAAGCAAATTAAAAAATGCTTTTGTGAGAGCAAAACCCAGGAAAAGCCAAACCAGCGGAGCAGAGCTGCACATTAGGGAAGGAAGGAGATGAAGGATAGGAAGGATCTGAAGGATCTGAAGGAGTTACCTGGGGAGAGGGGCCGGGACAGCCTCTGGGAGCTGGAGCTGGTCCAGGTGAGGTGCTGCTCACCCAGCCCTGACTGCTGTGCCACTGTCCTTATCCCTGTCCCTGCTGTGCCCACAGTCAGCCAGGGAGTGCTCACAAACACTGGGTGCAAACACAGCCAGGGTGGAGCAGCCCGTGCCCCTCCCCAGGTGTTTTCTGCTCTCTGGCCACCAAACCTGCTCCAAGGCACTCGTGGATCCCTGGCCCTGGGGCAGCCCCTCACCACCCTGCTGTGGGAATGGTGACGTTGTGCTGGACACCCACAACCCCCTTCCCAATGCGGGCTTTCCCCAAAATGCAGAAAAAATACAAAGTTCTGTTACTGGCAAAGTTAATTTGCTGGTTTTTTTGACTGTTTGTTGTGTCAACGATGGTTCCCAATGTCCCTGCAGAATGTGCAGCCTGGGTGGTTCTGATCCCAATCCCCCTGTAGGATGTGCAGTCTGGGTGGTTCTGATCCCAATCCCCCTGTAGGATGTGCAGCCTGACAAAGTGCTGCTGTTTTAAAGCCATTTCAACTCGTTAATATTCTTTCCCAGCAATTTCAAAGCCATCCCATGCTTTCATCAAGGACAGACCTGAGTGGCACACGTTGAGTTTTTGTTTTGCCAAACTGGGAATTATTTAGCTGGGTGGCACCCACAGAAAATCTGCTGCAAAGCACAGGAAACTGTGCTGCTTTCATGCTTTTGCAGTGCTCAAAATGCTATTTTTTCTTTCTAATGAAGCTGTCACCAAATAAATCTTCCTCCCTTGCAGGAAATGCTCAGCTGGTGCATCTGACAGCTGCATAAAACTTCCTGTTCATCAATGGCACAACAATTATCAATGATTAACCAGCTTCTTTTATTGCTGTCCAGAGCCAGAGCCAAGAGCATTCAGATATTGACAGCTGAGGAGCAGACGACTCCTGGTCTGTGTTTGCCTCTGCTCCTGCCCACGTGCTCTGAGGGGCTGGTGGCTTGAGCTGAGGTTTCCACCCGGCTGCTGCTGCCAAGGTTTATTCAGCACGAGGGATCAGCAGCAAAACCCCCCCGGCAGGGAGGGCACGAGGAACCTGCAGGAGAGCAGCTGAGCAGAAAGCAGAGTGAGGCATGGCTCCAGGGGAATTCTGGCAGTTTGGGACAAAATATAAACGAGGTGTGGACTCAGCTTTGGTGTTTCTCTCAGAAGAGGGTGGATGGAGTGAATCACGGATTGTTTCGGATGGCAGAGCCCAACATTTGCAGGGATTGATGGATCCTGGATCCCGGGCAGGGAGAGCTGTGGGAGCCTCCTGAATCCCAGATCCAGCCCATCCCCTGGGCCTCTGAGACCCACAGGGTTTGTTCGGCTGGAGCCTGCATTCCTCAGACACTCTGAGTGACCCTCTGAGGGCCCCTCACTTCAACCTACTTACAGGAGGTTCCCAAAAACCTGAGGCAGTGTAGTGACTCTTAGAGGAGGTTCCCAAAAAAACCTGAGGCAGTGTAGTGACTGATGCTGGGGCTTCCACACCTGGCAGACCCCAAAACAAGGTGCTGGCACTCCAAAATTCCCGCTATCCATTACAAAATCCACAATCCCTGGGACAGACACGAGCTGGAAGCGGGTGCAGAGGTGAAGCCATCCCCATCAGCACAAACATCCTCCTCTCTGGGGGAGCAGGTGCTGCTTTGAACTGCACAAGGAAATCACACCTGAACTGGTGTTCCTGCAAACCTGAAAAGCCTGGCTTGCACCTCCAGGGAAAATTCTTTCTGCTTAAGTTCTGCTGAAGTTCTAAGCTTGGATCTGGCTCCTGGTGGCTCCTGGTGGTTGTCCCAGTGATGTTTTCATGAGTTGGGTTTTCCCTCTGTCTCTCACAGGGTTCCCATCAATGGTCGGGTCTGCCTTGTGTTTCACCCCTGTGCTCTGACTGGTGCTGAAAGGAGAATGATTGCTGCAGTGCAGGGGCTCTGGGCAGCAGCACAACCCTAATTATCACCATTACCTGCCTCTCAGCCTGAGCTCTGGGCTGCAGCCCCTTCTGTGGTCTGGCTCTGCAGCAGCCCCCCCAAGAGAGGAATCCCTGCAGATCCCCAGGGGGCTGGGAGCAGCCTCTGGCTCACACACTGCAGCTGCAGCTCAGAGGGAAACACTCCCTCATTCTGCTTCCCAGAGATGCCCCAGCAGCGTTTTTAAATGGTATTTCAGCCTGGAGTTTCTGCAGCCTGTGAGTCACAGTGTTGATGTAGGAAGGGAGCTGCTGATCTGATTGTCTCTTCTTCCCCCACCACAAAAATCCCCCAGGTTCCTGCTGCCACTATTCTGTTTTTAAAGAGGGAGGATTACAGACTCTACACCAGCTATTTCTCCACGTGGGAGCTCCTAGAACAGATAAAAGGTTCCTGTGTCAGGATTGAGACAGAGACTTATTGTAGACGTGGTGCCTCAGTGGGTGGAACAGGCATTTGAAGCACAATTACTCTCCTGTAGGAGCACTTTAAGTCTATCAAATATGCAGTGATGATAGCAATACCATGTCAAACATTCACTTCCTTCTGCACAGCCTGGGTCACCACTCTCCCCAGCAGCTCTGCTTTGAACCCCCTGCTCTGCTTTCCCGTCAGTGCTTCCCCTTCCCAAGCCTGAAATGTGGAAAATTTGAGGAGCTGCAGCTCCTCAAAGAAAGGAAAAAACGGGAAGGGGAAGGGGAAGGGGAAGGGGAAGGGGAAGGGGAAGGCAAGGAAAGGAAAGGAAAGGAAAGGAAAGGAAAGGAAAGGAAAGGAAAGGAAAGGAAAGGAAAGGAAAGGAAAGGAAAGGAAAGGAAAGGAAAGGAAAGGAAAGGAAAGGAAAGGGAAGGGAAGGGAAGGGAAGGAAAGGAAACTTCATGTAAACCCTGTATTTAATTCTTGCCTTGAGTGAGGAAGTGGCAGGCACACAAGCATGGACTGCAGCAGGGGCAGAGAAGTGATGGCTTTTGGGGGCTCTTTGGCCCACCTGGGTCAGGCCTGGGACGTTCTCCTGTGCCGAGGAGGGGCCAGCACGAGGCTGAGCCTGCTCTGCTGGGATGTGCAGGGCTGGGATAGCAGAGTGGCCACAGCCAGGTCAGTCCTGGCCAGCTCCTGCTGCCAGCTGGGCACGGGTGGGGCGATGGCCACACTGCTGCCCTTCTGCCACTGCTGCTGTGGAACCTTTGTTTCCCCACCCTGGTGGCTTTGGGCTGAGAGAAAAGTCCAAATTTTCTTCTGTTTTCTTTGTTTTTTTTCCCAAGAAAAGGCATCGATGGCCTCGGGCACCTTGTCCTGGTGGGGATCACCTGGGAGAGCTCTCCCTGCAATTCCAGCTGTGAATTCCTGCAGCTAAAGCTCCTCCTCAGCACAGGAGAGCCCCCTCAGGTCACTGCGGGATTAGGGCAGCTGCAGCCAAATTTTCTCCCTGGAAAAATGTGATTTGCTAAACTTCTGCCGAGTGGAAACGCAAGGATGGATATACATTTATCCCTGATGCAGTCACTGGAGGGAGAAAAGCTTTAAAGCTACGAGAGGAAACATTACCCTCAGTGAGGGACAAGGATTTGATGCCATTTTATTGCTGCCACTGGGATACCAGGCAGGAGCTGTGCCAGCCCCTGGGCTGTCCTTCCCTTCCTGAGCTCATGTGAGCTCCGTGAGCCGCGGGATTGCTCAGCTCTGCTGAGAGCCAAAGCTTTATTCCACAATTCCAGCGCTCCCTGAGCAGCCCTGTCCTCCAGCACAGCCCCCGGTGAGCAGTGACACTGCAGCAGTGACACTCCTGAGCAGGACCTGGCCTGTCCTCCACGGCCACGGCTTGGCAATTACATTTTCCACATAACCTTTAATTTTATCCACGTGTAAAATGCAATTAGAGCTTGAAATCTTGAATCCACATTCTCAGCATCAGCTGGCAGACATGGCCAGGGATGCTCAGGAAAATTCAGAGATGCTCCGGGATGCTCCGTGAAATTCAGGGATGCTCCGGGAAGTTCTGGAAAGCTCAGGGATGCTCAGGGATGCTCCGGGAAGCTCAGGAATATCCCTGGAAGTTGCGGGATGCTCGACAGCCTGTCAGCAGGTGGCGGCGTTAAGCCACGCTCAGCCTGGAGATGCTCAGTGCGCTCAGCTGAGCGTTTTACCCCAAAACTCTCCTTCCTTCCTTCCTTCCTTCCTTCCTTCCTTCCTTCCTTCCTTCCTTCCTTCCTTCCTTCCTTCCTTCCTTCCTTCCTTCTATAAAAACAATCTTTCCAAGCCCCCTGCTTTCCCCATGCTGCTCCACCACCACCTGTTGTCCTTGTGCAGCTAAAATAGAGACTGAGGTGATTGAGGGGAGAGTTTGGCTGCCCCAGAGCTGTTCTTGCCATGGCAGACTCATGGGCAGGTTTGTTTTTAGCATCTTGAGCAAAACCCCAAGTCCCAGCTGTGAAAATAACAAGTGGGTGTCAACAGGTCAGGGAGATACTCTTACATCCTTTAAAATTGGGTTATCATGGTGAGTGTCTTTTAAATAAAGAAATACAACCAGGAGAAGCTGACTTGAACACTGATATTTGGGTAATTAAGAGTAACTTAAACATTTAACTGTCAAATTTCTCTCTCTGGCATTAATGAACCAGCTGCCATGACTGACTCCTACTCCAGCTTCATCCCTCGGTTCCCGTTTTGAACAAAAACCCCAATTTAGGCATGAGAAACCCTCTGAAGATGCCTCCTGTGCAGGCAGAGGTGGAGGGGGTAAATGCCAACACACGACTCAGGCTGTCTCAAGCCACTCAACTGCCACTGTTTGCTCTGAACCAGGCTCATTCTAAAGTTATCTTTATTTTTTTTTTCCTCACAGATCAAGTTTTTGTGTTGTTAAATTTGTTCCCTGGGGTCAGGGAGTCCGTGCTGCTGTTTTCAGGTGTGGTTAATGATTTAGGGTGACTCATATGTCAGGGCTCACAACAAACCCAGCAGTGACTCAGGCAGGTTTTTTATCACTGCGTTGAGATGATGTGTGCTCACGGAACCCTAAAAGAAAGAGGAATAACAGATATTTCAGCAGGTGTTCCCACTATTTTTTTTGGTGTTCCCACTATTTTTTTTGGTGTTCCCACTGTTTGTGGCCCTGTGAGGGGAT